CAGGTGTGGTGGCACATGCCCATAATCCCAGCTATTCAGGAGGCTGAGGCAGGAGAATCGCTTGACCCAGGAGGTGGAGGTTGCGGTGAGCAAGATCATGCCATTACCCTCCAGCCTGGGGAACAAGAGCAAAACTCCATCTCAAAAAAAGAAAGAAATTTGTTAGTGTACCTCCAACACTATATTTGGCAGAAGGAAAACAATACCTTGACTCCACACAAAGATATTGTCAACCACAGGTTATGTGGTTCAGTTTCCCTTCAATGCGATTTTAATCATCTTCTAACCACATGGGATGTGAACCTTTAGGGCAATTCACTGGTCCAGTTGAACTAATGTTTACTGGGTGCTCACTATGTATCTGGCACTGTGATAAGCAGTGTACATCTCATTTAATCCTCAAAATTGAGCCCATTATTATCCCTATTTTACACTTGAGGCCACTAAGGCTGGAAGAGGTTAAGTAACTTGCCCAGTTTCACAGCTGGGAAGCTGTGTTGGAACCTAGACAGAATCAATCAAGTGCGTATTCTAACCAATTATCCAAACAATATCCTACCAGGTTTCCCTGCTTCCAGTCCCATCGAATATACATGCCAGAGCTAGAGTGATCTTTCTAAACACAACAAGTTTGTATCACTTTGCTAGCTAAAATCCTTCAGTGGGCAGGGCGTGGTGGCTCACACATGTAATCCCAGCACTCTGGGAGCCCAAAGTGGGTGGATCACCTGAGGCCAGGAGTTCGAGACCAGCCTGGCCAACATGGTGAAACTCTGTCTCTACTTAAAATACAAAAAATTAGCTGGTTGTGGTGGCAGGCGCCTGTAGTCCCAGCTACTCAGGAGGCTGAAGCAGGAGAATCGCTTGAACCCGGGAGGTGGAGGCTGCAGTGAACCGAGATCGAGCCACTGCACTCCAGCCTGGGCAACAAAAGCGAAACTCCGTCTTAAAAAACAAAAATAAATTAATTAAATTAAATCCTTCAATGACATGCCTCACCACCAACAGGGTGGCTTTTAGTAACGAGCCTCCTGCCAATTCTTCCCATCTTCCATACTCTTTCTTCCTTTCTCCTCCAGCAACTTTTTCTCAGTCAAGAGACGCAGAAAAACCCGGTAACTTTTAAAATCATGCTACCTTTCAGCCTTTGTTCCTTCAGTTCTCCAGTAATATTCCCCCCATTTTCGCCGGGAACATTCTTGCTAATTCTTTTAGGAATCTGCTCAGGAACCATCTATTTGAGAAAACATTCTCACCCCGCCCCCTACCGTTACTTTTACCGAATGACCACACTGATTTATATTACGAGTCCCCAACTACTTCTGTGAAGGAAGGAAACATATTTCATAAAGTAGCCCCAGCGCCTGAGAAGTCAGACACAGGCAAACACAGAAATATGATGAACAACTGAGTCGAACTCTTCCTCCCAACATTCTTTATTACCCTCCTCCTCCCTCCTCTCCATCCAATAGACCTAGCAAGACCTAACGTGGTCCACAAGCTCTTCCACCCACTTCCGCAACTCTTTCTCAGACTCACAACCTTTCACAAGTCTGAGCCTTTTACCGGGTCCCCGTGCGGCTGCAGCGCCTGCTCCGAAGCCTGAGACATATATCTATTCGACAAAACTTAACTTAGTGCCTACGGGGTCCCAGGCATTATGGCTACAGCGGTGTTGAGAGCCGCGGTTCTACCCTCGCCCCAGGCGAGCGACCTTGGCCTCCGTCCCCTGGTTCCAACCTTTTCCTCGACTCCATGCCTAACCTAACCGCCAAGGTCTGGGTCTTTCCCGCCCAGACCGAGCGGCCTCGGCCCAGGCCTTCACCGCCGTAAGTGACTCCAACCCATAGCTTCCTCCCCAGTCAGTCGCAGTTCCCACTGCACAACAGACTCGAAAGCTCCCGCGCCGCCAGCCTGTGCCCTCCTCACCATGGTGGCGGTTCTGATGGCTCCGATTCCCGCTGGATTCGCCTCTACAGAGGCCTAGACGCTCGCCTGCAGCCCGATTTCCCGCCGCTGCTACCGGAAATGCAGCAACACGTAAAATACGGTCGGGTAGAAATCTACTTCCGGTCCGGACAGTGAGCCCTAGAGTTCCGGCCTTGGGAGCTGAGCTTGGGCCGAGCAGGGGCGGGGCCTGAGGACCGGGCGTTAACATCCAGCTTTGAACTAATAGGAGAGCCTTTGTAAGTTCCTGTTTGGACACCCTCCTAGCTTAAATCCGTACTCAGGGCTGCTCTGTGTCATACTGATCTCTCTTCACCCTACCCTTCCCATTACCCTCCCCGGCTCTCTCCCCTGCAGCCACTGTCTTTGCTTTTCCCTCCACTGGCTTGACGTGCTCCTGCTTGAGCTCCTCTGCGTTTACTTTTGCCTCTGCCTGGAATGCCAGTCCCCAAGGTATACCAAAGGCTCCTGCCCTCACCTTTTTCAAGACTTAAGCTTAAAATACACTTTCCCAGTGAGGACTTTCCCGGCCATCCTGTAATATTCCCACCCACCTCATCCTCATCTCTGCTGTATTTCCCTCTTGCAATCTAACATGGTGTGTATTTTTGTTATTTTATTATCCCCTCCCCATTGAATATAAGCTCCATAACGGTGTGAATTTCTCTGTGTATTACTTATTGCTGTAGTGCCTAGAACATTTTAGCACAAAACAGGGGCTCTATCCGTATTTGTTGATAATCTCATCCAGTCCTATGACGTTTATTTTTTCTATAACTTTTTTTTTTTTCAGAGTCTCACTCTGTCACCCAAGCTGGAGTGCAGTAGTGCAATCTCGACTCATTGCAACCTTTGCCTCCCCGGTTCAAGCGATTCTCATACCTCAGTTTCCTGAGCAGCTGGGAATACAGACCTGTGCCACCACACTCGGCTAATTTTTGTATTTTTAGTAGAGGCGGATTTTTGCCATGTTGACCAGGCTGGTCTCGAACTCCTGCCCTTAAGTGATCCGCCTGCCTCGGCCTCCCACAGTGTTGGGATTACAGGCGTGAGCCACCACACTGGGCCTTTCCTAAGACTTTTAGTACAATGTATACACCCAGGGCTTAAGTTTGTTGACCTTGGCCTTTTCATTTAACTGTTGGCCTTTTATGTCCAGCTGCCAGCAGGATGTGAATGTCTAATGGGTATACCAAATTCAATATGTTGAAAACTGAATTCTTGATTCTATTCACTCTTTCCAAAACCACTTCACCAGTGTTCCCCATCCCTGAAGTTTCTTGGATTAAAAAAGAAAATTACAAACTTGAAGCATACTTCATTCTTCTCTATCTCTGCCATCAAATAATCAAATTCATCAGCAAATCGTGTGGCCCCTACCTTCAAATTATCTTGAATATGACTGTTGTCACCCACTCCACTGCTTCCACCCTAGTCATAGCCACCATCATCTCTGTCTTGGATCATTGAACAACTCTTGTCTCTTTGCTTCCTTTCTTGTTCTCACAGCAGCCAGAGGGATCCTTCTAAATGTACTGGGATATCAGATGATGTCATGCCCTGGTGTCTACTTCCCAAAAACTTCCCAGCACACGTGGAATAAAATCCGGCTCTGCATTCCTCCCCAACCACACTCAGGTCCTTCAACATTCCCCTCATTCATCATTCTCCAGTCACACTAATCTCCTGTTCCTCAAACCCAGCAAGGAAACCTTCCACCCTGGGGCTTTGTCACCTTCACACCATCTAAGAGGTATGTTCTGTTGTCCTGTTTCTGTCACCTGTAGATGAAGAGGTGAAGCCTCATATAAATGAATTATGTTGCCCAAGGTAGCAGAGTCAGAGTGGGAATATAGGTTCATCTGCCCCCACCTTATCCTGATGCCTAACATATCATTCATGCATACATTAAAAATAATTTTTATTTAGCACCTACTAAGGCCATGCCTGTTATTGAGATAGAGTCCTTTCCCTCACTGAGCTGTACATTCTAGTGAGAAACACAGATAGTAAACCAAGTAAATAAGTATGCAATGTAACATTAGAGTGACATGAAAAAAATAAAGGCAGAGGACTGAGAGGGTGGGGTACAATTCTGGCTAGGTGGTCAGGGAAAACTTCTCTTGAGGAGTGGTATGTGAGCAGAGACCTGAACCTACACTCAGGTCTATCTGAAGGATGAATATTATGAAGGACATTCTAGAAAATTCATATAAAGGGAATAGGCTGGGTGCTTTATATTTATATAAAGGAATTGGCTCACACCTGCAATCCCAGCACTTTGGGAGGCCGAGGTGGGCAGATCACAAGGTCAGGAGATCGAGACCATCCTGGCTAACAAGGTGAAATCCCGTCTCTACTAAAAAAAAACAAAAATTTAGCTGGGCATGGTGGCACACGCCTATAGTCCCAGGTACTCAGGAGGCTGAGGCAGGAGAATCGCTTGAACCTGTGAGGCAGAGGTTGCAGTGAGCCAAGATCATGCCACTGCACTCCAGCCTGGGTGACAGAGCAAGACTCTGTCTCAAAAAAACAAAAGAAAAAGAAAAAGAAAATTTATATAAAGGGAATAATATAATAATATGTGGTCTTTTGTGACTACTTTCTTTCACTTAGCACAATATTTTTAAGGCTCATCCATGTCATGATATGTATCAGTACTTCATTCCTTTTTAGGGCCAAATAATATTCCACTATATGGATGTACAGTAGTCCCCCCATATCCTTGTTTCACTTTCTGTGGTTTCAGTTCCCTGTAGTCAACTGCAGCACAAAACTAGGTGAGTACAGCACAAGATACTTTGAGAGCAGGGGACTAAACAGGGAATTCATTTGGTCTTTACTTGATAAAATGGTCCCAAGTTTCAGTCTAGATCAAAAGTGGACAAAGTTTTTTTAAAATATGTTTAAGACCAGTTAGTTTCCAATAAATTTTTTGTTAGGGGCCAGAGAGCATTTTAGAGTTGGTGAGCCATTTGGTCTCTGTTGCAGTTACTCAGCTTTACCACGTAGCATGGAAGCAGCTATAGACAATAACTAGCAAATGAGTGTGGTTGGGTTCCAATACAATTTTATTTATGTATACAAATATATGTCACAAAATATTATTATTCTTTAAATTCTTTGCAACCACTTAAAATGTAAAGACCATTCTTAGCTCAAGGACACACAAAAACCTGTGATCAGCCAGGGTTGGCATTTAGGCTGCAGTTCGCCAACTTCTGATACAGACCATTAGATTTCTGTGTCTAGATTCAAGGTCACAGCCTCAGTTGAGTATTCATAATTAATAGTTTTGACCTGCATTATTTCTTTGGCTTATCTCTGGGCTCACTAAATAAATGCAGTCAAAATTCATGTCTTTGCCCTCATTTTAAAAACACACACATATACCTTCACACCTGTATCAATCTGGGTTTGATGAGGAGACAGAAACCATATAGTAATTTAAAGAATTATTTTGCCAGGCATGGTGGTTCATGCCTATAATCTCAGCACCTTGGGAGGCTGAAGTGGGCAGATCACCTGAGGTCAGGAGTTCCAGACCAGCTTGGCCAACATGGTAAAACCCCATCCCTACTAAAAATACAAAAATTAGCTTGGCATGGTGGCAGGCGCCTGTAATTCCAGCTACTCAGGAGGCTGAGGCAGGGAGAATCACTTGAACCCAGGAAGCAGAGATTGCAGTGAGCCGAGACATTAAATTCCAGCCTAGGCAACAGAGCATAACTTCGCCTCAAAAAAAAAATTATTTTGCAAAGATAAATATAAATACTAAGAAAAAAAAAATCCCACAGCTGAGGGGGATTACCCAAGGATAAACTTGGAAGGAGGACTCCCTACCCAAGGCTAGGGTTCAGTCCTTATTGGAGATGTGCTTGCAGCCTACTGGACAGCAGAAAAGTTTTGAGGGGGAAGGTTGTGCAGGCCAGAGTTGGTCCACAGTCACTAGGCAAGCAGGAATAACCCTTTGGGGCACAGGCAAGCCTTTTTTATTCCATCTGATTCCAAGAAGCAGAAAAAATGGTTATTTAACAGTTACTTCGATCTTCGCTGACATACAGAGTACATGATGGAGTCAAGACATCTCCTGAAAACCCCTCAGAGGTGAGTGAGGTGGTGACTTGGGGTGGCAAGATAGTCCTCTTAAGTCAGCTGAGGAGGGGCATCAGATGAAGCTCCACCCACAAGCCCTGCCCACACAGGTCTTCTCCCTGAGTGTGTCCTCCTCTAGTATAAGATGAGGTTTAACTTACTGCTAATGTGTTTCACATTTTCCCTCCTCACCCATGTCAAGTTTGTCCCAAAAAAGGCTGTTCTTTGATGAGGTGCACCTATTTCCTAAGTCCTTGTCCATTCTCCCCACACATGCAGAGGTATTTCTATTCTCTGGGGTTTAGTAAGGGGTCACTCATGGCTGAAGACTTATCCACATTCCTTATGTACCTAAGATGTCTTAGAATCAATTCTCTGGAGAGACAATGAGATGGAAAATTGAGGATTCATTGGGAAGTGAGGGCAGGACTGGGCAGAGAACGAGGCTGACCTGCAGTGTGTCTGCAACGCAGTGATCCTTCAGTTCGACTGGGACCTCTGGATCTGGAATGAGCTTCTGGAGTTGTCCCAGTTGAGTCAAGGGGTGGGGCCAGGAGCTACCCCTGCGAACGTGCATACCCCCACGGTGTGCAGCTCCCTGTGGCTGAGAGCGAGTTCCAGAGTGGAGGGCATCTCTGCCAGCAGCAACACTGTTCTCTCAGGCAGCTGAGCTGTTAGCCCTGAAAAGGTCATCTGGGCAGAGCTCCACAGTGTCCCCACATGCCGATTCTCCATTTGGTGTGTGATCACAAAAGCTTTGCCCATACACCCTGCAACAAAGACCTCCTTCCTACGGTCCCTACACAAATGAAACTTCTCTCCTCAGTGTATCCTCTGTGCACACTCTATACTCATAAGGCTCCTCTCCTGAATGTGTCTCTCCCATGCCAGATAAGGGTCGACACATCTCTGGAACTTCACTCACATTCTGTATACATAGGATCTATTCCCCATGTGTCTCTGGGGTAACATGAGGCTTGACTGATCACTCAAGTCTTGCCCATGATCCCTGCATACACAGGTTTCTCTCATCAGTGTGTCCTCTGGTGCCTGATGAAATTTGACTTACAACTAAAGCCTCGCCTGCACTCCCTACAAACATAATGCTTCTCCCCTGAGTGAGTCCTCTGGTGGACAAGGAGGAGTGATTTCTGGCTAAAGCCTCGGCAACACTCACTGCACACGTAGGGCTTCTCTCCTGAGTGCGTCCTCTCATGTACAATGAGGGATGACTTGTCACAAAAGCTTCACCCACATTACCTGCAAATATAAGGCTTCTCATTTGTGTGTATCCTCTGGTATCTGGTAAGATTTGACTTCTGGCTAAAACCTCGCCCACACTCCCTGCGAACATCATGCTTTTCCCCTGAGTGTGTCCTCTGGTGGACAACAAGGAATGATTTCCGACTAAAGCCTCATCCACACTCACCACACACATAAGGCTTCTCTCCAGAGTGCGTCTGCTTGTGTATCATGAGGGTTGACTTGTCGCAGAAGCCTCTCCCACACTCCCTGCAAACATAAGTCTTCTCATCTGAGTGTGTCTTCTGGTGTTTCATGAGATCTAAGTTCTGGCTAAAGCCTCGTCCACACTCCCTGCAAACATAAGGCTTCTCCCTGAGTGAATCCTCTGGTGTTTTCTGAGGGTTGACTTATCACAAAAACTTCATCCACACTCTAGGCACACATAGGGTTTCTCACCTGAGTGTGTCCTCTGGTGTCTGATGAAGGATGACTTCTCGCTAAAGCCTCGGCCACACTCGCTGCAAACACAGGGCTTCTCCTCTGAGTGAATCCACAGATGTCTATTGAGGATGGACTTATTTCTAAAGCTTTGCCCACGCTCCCTGCACAAATAAGGCTTCTCTTCTGAATGTGTTATCTGGGGTCTGTTGAGGTTATACTTCTGGCTAAAACCTTGCCCACACTCACAGCACACATGAGGCTTCTCCATCGAGTATGTCCAATGGTGTCTGATGAGGATTGATCTTTAAAGCCTCGCCCACAATCACTGCAAATGTAGGGCTTCTCCCCTAAGAGGGTTCTTGGGTTTATAATAAAGTTTGATTCCAGGCTATGGTCTGGTTCACACTCTCTACAGTTGATTGCTCCAAATCTCAAGGTTTCCAATTCCTTCAAGTCTTTGGCTGCACAGAGTTTGTTCTTTGGGCTGAGCTGGGCTCTATTTCTACCACCATGTTACCTTCTCTGGCACTTGCTGACTGTCTTTGGAGTAGGCTAGGGAATGCCCTTGAGGTTTCTCTCTCCTCTGTCCTTGCAGACCAGGGTTTGGAGCCACCTCCTCTCTCCCAATCTTCTGTGTTTTCATACCAGCAGCTTTGATGGGAATACTGCTGCCCCTGCTGTTTCTAACGCCCTGGGCTAGAATTCCCTGGATGGAAATGATTTTCTACACATAAGCCCAGGAAGATCTGAAGCACATGTTGGCTGAGGAATTGCTGACAAGAGAAGGCCAGAAGGCAGGAGGAACAAGGGTAGATTTCTTGCTTTGGCTCTGCTAAAGAAATAAAGTTTTCAGTTAGAGTACCATAAGTAGGGCTGCTGGGCTCTTCTCCCTTGTCTTAGGACAGAGAATGTTTTGCTGCCATGCCTGTAATTGATAGTATAAATACAACACAGTTTGCTTCTGAACAATGATTCCTTTACATTCCATCACATTTTCTATTGCAATCCAAAAAATCCACAACAGAAACATCTTGAGACCAGGAATCTCTCAAGTGAGTATTCTGATCTGTAAATAGCTTTAATTATAGTTAGCCTTCTTCTTCTTCTAGTCTTCTAAGCCATACACATTCACATTGGTATATACTGTCCACAACTCTTTGTTCTGCTTGGAGATAATGGTCTCTATGACACATGGAAATCTCCTTCATGACTGTTCTTATTATATAAAAAAGAGTCTGGAGGCCAGGCGCGGTGGCTCAAGCCTGTAATCCCAGCACTTTGGGAGGCCGAGGAGGGTGGATCATGAGGTCAAGAGATCGAGACCATCCTGGTCAACATGGTGAAACCCCATCTCTGCTAAAAATACAAAAAATTAGCTGGGCATGGTGGCGCGTGCCTGTAGTCCCAGCTACTCAGGAGGCTGAGGTGGGAGAATTGCTTGAGCCCAGGAGGTGGAGGTTGCGGTGAGCCGAGATCACGCCACTGCACTCCAGTCTGGGTAACGAGCGAAACTCCGTCTCAAAAAAAAAAAAAAAAAAAGAGTCTGATTGGCATAAAAAGTCCCTCGGTCTGGAGGATTTCAAATGGAGGTGAAAGTGTATGGAATAATTATTAAAGAAATTATAGTATATAAAACAAATATAAATTTTAGGCTGCCCACCTGTAAAAAAGACTTCTTAGAAAACGTCAAAGTACTAGCTTCTCTACTAAGTATTATGAATTCAGCAATGAACAAGACAGACGTGGTCCGTGATTTTAGGATTGTGACAACAAACCAAAACCACAAAATCTGCCTTTCTTTCCACTTTTCATAAATTAGTAAAAAGACAAATTTTTCATTTACAGCGGCACCTGCCTACAAAATATCAAAACTAGATGTTGCATTTCATCACAACTAGATCTATCCAATTGATGCTGAGAAATAACCACTTCCTTGGCCCCAGACCCTGCTGAGCCTGATTGAAGACTTCTGCCTAACTAATGAACACTGGAATCTTGATACTCAACTCTGTCTGTCCCTACAAACTCATTTTATCCTATCCAGAATTCTAGTTTCCAAACCTGTGTTAGCAAAACCATCATGACCCTGCTCTCTAACAGTAAAACATTTTCTTTTTCCCCCTCACCAAACTATACAGTGAATCTCCTCACTGCTGTGTCTCCTTGTCTCTTATGTAAAGGATTCGTGCCTTTTGATTTTTTTACCTTTTGTGTTCTTAGTTTTAGTTTCTGACAATGTGTTTTCCCTTTGGTTGTTTTCTGTGCATAGACTGAGCCGTATGTGCTCAAAGCTGCTTGTCTGGCAGCCTTGCCATGGATGAGGCTCTCAGTAGCCATTAGGCTCTGCTTGCTGTCACTGAACACTCCCTGAGCTTATCTGGTTTACTTGGATTCTTAAAGTAACTCATTATTTGTTTCTATTTCTGGCCAGTTATCTCTTATAAGACTTGTGGTCATTCTAGTATTTTGTGACATGAACTTTTAGTCTTGATACTTCGACCGCGACTTGCTGCCATCTTTTTGGCTTATCTAGAAGCATACCAGGTCATTCAGACTACAGTCTGAATACATAGATGGTATATAGCACTGATGTAACACCCTACATCACTGAGAAGTATTTCAGTAGAAGAAGAAATCTCATTTGTGTCTATTTTGTGTTAAACACAGGAAGCAAAAGCTCATTACACTTAATACCCTGTTAAGTGGGCCCCATGTATACTCATTATGATTCTAATCCGTATGCCTTACTAGGAAAGTGTCACCATTTCACTAAAGATAATTTAGATTTACAGAGGCCATTCTGAGGAACTCTGTTTTCTATCATGCCCCTTTGCTATATAATAATTCAGTATATATTTCTAAAGAACTATATAGTTAAGAGATCTGGCTTGCATCATCAATACATTTACTCATTTGCTTAATCTTAAAATGCAAGGAATAAGGCTGGGCACGGTGGCTCACACCTGTAATCTCAGAACTTTGAGAGGCTGAGGCAGGCGGATCACCTGAGGTTGGGAGTTTGAGACCAGCCTAACCAATGTGGAGAAACCGCATCTCTAATAAAAATACAAAATTAGCCAGGCATGGTGGCACATGTATGTAATCCCAGCTACTCAAGAGACTGAGGCAGGAGAATCACTTAAACCCGGAGGCGGAGGTTGCAGTGAGTTGAGATCATGCCATTGCACTCCAGCCTGGGCAACAAGAGCAAAACTCCGTCTCAAAAAAAAAAAAAAAAAAAAAAGCAAGGAATATAGTTTCAGAATTGTTGACCCATATCCTTATAAAATATATACAAAATAGGCCGGGGGGTGCGGTGGCTCACGCCTATAACCCCAGCACTTTGGGAGGCTGAGGCGGGTGGATCACGAGGTTAAGAGATCGAGACCATCCTGGTCAACAAGGTGAAACCCGGTCTCTACTAAAAATACAAAAATTAGCTGGGCACGGTGGTGCATGCCTGCAGTCCCAGCTATTCGGGAGGCTGAGGCAGGAGAACTGCTTGAACCCAGAAGGCAGAGGTTGTGGTGAGCCGAGATTGTGCCATTGCACTCCAGTCTGGGTAACAACAGCGAAACTCCATCTCAAAAAATAAATAAATAAATAAAATATATACAAAATATAGTCCATTTAGTTCAAGATTTGTTTGCAGTTCTTTGTGAACAGAGAAGGAGGTGGCCAATTTTTTCTGTAAAGAACCAAAAAGTAGCATGGTGGCTCATACCTGCAATATCAGCACTTTGGGAGGCTGAGGTGGGTGGATCACAAAGTCAAGAGTTCGAGACCAGCCTGACCAACATGGTGAAACCCCATCTTTCAAAACTAAATAAATAATAAAAAATTAAAAAAAAAAAAAAAGAACCAGGCCGGGCACGGTGGCTCACACCTATAATCCCAGCACTTTGGGAGGCCAAGGCGGGTGGATCACAAGGTTAAGAGATCGAGACCATCCTGGTCAACGAGGTGAAACCCCATCTCTACTAAAAATACAAAAATTAGCTGGGCATGCTGGTGCGCGCCTGTAGTCCCAGCTACTCGGGAGGCTGAGGCAGGAGAATTGCTTGAACCCAGAAGGCAGAGGTTGCGGTGAGCCAAGATTATGCCATTGCACTCCAGTCTGGGTAACAACAGCGAAACTCATGTCTCAAAAAAAAAAAAAAGAACCAAAGAGTAAATATTTTAGGCTTCGTAGGTAACATGGTCTCTATCATGACTGCTTAACTCTGACAATGTATAACAAAAGCAGCTATAAATAATTCATTGTTCCAAAACAACTTTCTTTACAAAAACAGGCAGTGGAGAGATTTGGCCTGTAGACCCTAGGTTTGCCAACTCTCACTTTACTATGGAGTATGGTCAAAGCGCTCTGTTAACTGGGTTGTTTTCCTGTTACCTGTGGTCATATTATTATTTTAGAACATATGTAGATTTTTTTCTCTTTGTATTCCAGTTTAGGGATTTTCCCTCTTTGTTGATTTAATTCATTTCTTTGGGTATTTAAAACATTAATATGCTCTAAAAGTGCAAAACTATTCAGAAATGTCTCCTCAGAGAGGACATGCCTCTCCTTTCCATAGCCTTCCAGCCAAATTCCACATATAACGTCACAACTAACCAATCTCATTAGTTTCTGGTTTATTAACCCTGTGATATTTTGTGGAGAAAAAAAAGAAGAAACATATGCATATGCTCATAATTTCTTAGAATGTACTCCCTATCAGTTCAGAGGAGCTCTTCCTCATTCTGGAAGGATGTACCATAACTTCTTCAACCAATTGACTACGTAAGAGCAATTAGGTTACTCTAATATTTTATATAGAAACAATGCTATAGTGAATAACCTTGCCCAAATGTAATAACTTTGGAGATGAATCTTCAGGGTAAATTCTTCTAGGTAGGATTGCCGGGTCAAAGCACAGGCACATACAGTTTTGTTACATTTTGCCAAATTTCCCTCCATAATGGCTGCAGCATTTCTGCATTGCTATCTACAGTGTGTAATGTTGCCTATATCCCTCAGCTTTGTCAAGTATTTTGTCAACCCTTGAAATGTTGCAAATGATACATTAAGAATGGTGTGTAGTTTTAATTTGCATTTATCTAATTAGAAGTGAAGTTAAACACCTATTCAAACATTTAAGGGCCAATGTTATATTTTATTTTGTGAACTGTCTATTTAGGTATTTTGCCTATTTTCTTCCTGTCTGGTTTTAGGGTTCTTCTTCTTAAATTTTAAGATTCATTCTATAGTATGGATAATAACTCTTTATATGTGATATACTGTCTGTGACAAATATTTCCTGGAAATATGACCTTTCTTTTGACTTTGTTTACAGTATCAAACTTATCACTCTTCTCCTCTAGCATCTGAATTTTTAGCCAAATTTAGAAAACCTTTTCCTATGTCCAGGTGGTAGAATATTTACCCCCATTCTATCCTAGTATGTTTACGGTTTAATTTTTTACATTTAGAGCTCTAGTCATATGGGATTTTTTGTGTGTATGGTGTGTGGTATATGGTCCAATGTTGTTTTTCCAAATGGAAATGGATATCTAGTTGCCTAACACCATTTATTAAAATGTCCATCTTTACTCCAGGGATTTGAGATGCTACCTTCATTGCATACCAAAGTTCCTAAGTTCTTGGGTTGACTTCTTGACCTTCTCCTTGATTCCACTGGCCTATGTGTCTAGTCATGGTATATTTTAGTGTCTGATAATGACAGTACTCTGTTATGGCTTTTATTTTTCAATGTATTCTTGACAGTTTTTCCACATTTATTTTTCCATGTGAATTTCACAAAAGAGCTTGTTACTACTTTTTTATTGGGATATGTTAACTTTATGAATTACCTTAGGGATAACTGACAACCTGATTTTAATCTATAAAAATATTTTTTGAGGCCAGACATGGCTCACACCTGTAATCCCAGCACTTCAGGATGCCCACATAGGTGGATCACTTTAGACCAGGAGCTTGAGACCAGCCTGGGCAACATGGCAAAACCCTGTCTCTACTAAATATACAAACAGTTAGCTGGCATGGTGGCATGTACCTGTAGTCCCAGCTACTAGGATGATTGAGGTGGGAGAATCACCTGAGCCCAGGAAGTCGAGGCTGCAGTGAGCTATGATCATGCCACTGCACTCCAACCTGGATGATAGATGTGAGACCCTGTCTCAAAAAAAAAAAAAATATATATATATATATAATTATTATTTATATTTATATATAATATAAAATATATATATATAATTATTATTTATATTTATATATAATATAAAAATATATATATAATATATTATTTATATTTATATATAATATAATATATATATTATTTATATTTATATATAATATATAAATATATATGTAAAATATATTTCTTTGATTAAAAATAAAATACATAAATATATTATTTTTATATTTATATAATATATTTTTATTTAATATATATAAATATATATATTATTTTTAATCAAGAAATTTTAACATAGATTGGTATGAGATGATTCCATTAACTTTGTTGAATATAGTAGTGGTATTGTGGTTGTATGAAAATCCATTTTTAATTTTTAGAGAAATGTGATATATTTAAGGCTGTCATGGTATTTTGAATTAACTTTAAAATAATTTGGCCAGAAAGGGAGAAGGGAATGATAATATAAGCAGGTAATGTGTTAATAACTATTGAATCTAGATAATTCATGTTCCTCCTTGACCTATCAGCCCTGCAAACACTTATTTCTAACATTCCACTTAAGCTCCCCTCTTGCAGTAAACTGTATTTTGGTCACAATATCTGCTGTTCCTCCCCACGGAGCCCATCTCTGAAGAAGGATTATCTTTCCCACCACAATGACATCCGATTTGGCTGTGGGATTTGCTTTGGCCAATGAAGGTTAGTGGGAAGTTAGTACACTTCCAAGCAAGTTTTCAGAGCTACCATGTGGTCCCATCATTGCTCTTTTTCCCTATACCTTGAGAACCCCATGATCCAGATAGAAACTGCTCCTTTTGCTTGGATCCCAAAACCAATAGAGTTGAACCACACCTGAAGTAACCAAGAGAAAATGTAAGTGAGAAATGAACATTTGCTATTATAAGCCACTGAAGTAGAGGGGTTGTTTATCACAGTATTAGCTGGTCTAAGCTTCCTAAATTACCTCCCCTGTGAAGCCTTTAAAGATTATTTCAGAAAGAATTGGCCCATTTATTTCTAACGATGCCCTTGAAGAAAAGACATTAACATGAATATGTGAAGAAAGGGAGAAAAAGAGACTCTGGCCGGGCACCATGGCTCACACCTGTAATCCTAGCACTCTGGGAGACAAGGGAGGTTGGAATGCTTGAACCCAGGAGTTCAAGACCAGCCTGGACAACATGGCAATACCTTGTCTCAAAAAAAAAGAAATAAAATAAGGAAAGGAAAGGGGAAAGAAAGAGAGAGACTGTTAGGAAGAAAAACAGTATGCTCTCCAGGAAACTTTGAGAATAAACTTGTGGTTGCAGGCAAGGAGAAATATGGGGACGAAGCACAGGTAAGACAGTGATGGATAATGGGTTCGTTATAATGTGTGATGGGGGAAATTGTTAAAGTTCACAAATTGCTAAAAGGTATGAATATAAACACAGAAAAGGAGTGTGTGACACTAACTCCTATGGACCCCTGCAGTCCAAAGAAAAGGAAAAGAAGAGAATAGCCCAAAAGAGAGATGTAAGAGGCTGGAGACTATGGAACATTATGGTGTCAAGCAAGACAAAAGAAACCATTTCAAGGAATGCTATCAACATCCAGGTTTTCAATATCAAGATTATTTTAAACTAGGTCATTTTTTTGTTTGTTTGATGTTTTTTTGTTTTTTTTGAGATGGAGTTTTGCTCTTGTTTCCCAGGCTGGAGTGCAATGGCACGATCTTGGCTCACTACAACCTCCGCCTCCTGGATTCAAGTGAATCTCCTGCCCTAGGCTCCCGAGTGGCTGGGATTACAGGTGCCCACCACCACACTTGGCTATGAACCAGGTCATTTTTAACATTGTCCTCTGAATCAGTTATATATGTATTAACAGTGGGAGAGAAAACAGTATGACCAGAGAAAAATAAAAATAAAAACAAAACCTAGTTGGACTGACTAGTTAAGGCCAAATCAAAACACACAAAACCATTTACGAACACAGAACCAGTCTGAAATGGTTGAATCTATACTGATTTAGATGCAGCCAGGTCTGATCGGCGCTAGTTCAAACCAGAGAGAATAAGATCAAAACACATCAAAGAAGATGAAAATGGAAAAAAGTAAATCTGATTAAATATATCAGGGAAACAGCCATGCCATTTGGAGGAAACTCCCAAAGAAGCTCCTGCCTGAAACTGGTTTGTGTCTCCAAAAATGTAATTCTTCTCTACATGTTTTATCTAGAAATATAGGAATACCTACAACAGTACTATCCAGTATAGCAGCCCCTGGCCGTGTGTTTACTGAGCACTTGAAACATGGCTAATCTGAACTAAGATGTACTCTAAGTGTTAAAATACACACTGGGTTTTGAAGACAGTCCAAAAAATAAGTAAAATACCTAATTAATATGTTTTCTTAATTTCATGTTAAAATGATATTTTAATATATTGGATTAAATAATATATATATTCTTACAGTTGATTTCACCTGTAGATTTACTTTTAAAAATATAGTTGCTAAGAAATTTTAAATTACCTATGTGGCTCACATTCTATTGCTAATAGACAGCACTGATGTAGAACAAGGAGTGGAAAATGACTGCCCACAAGCTAAATCCAGTCCTTTTTTTTTTTAATCACCTACAAGCTAAGAATGGTTTTTACAGTTTTAAATGGCTAGAAAAAAAGTAAAAATAGTAATATTTCATGTTACATAAACATATGAAATTGAGATTTCAGTGTGCATAAAGGAAGTTTGACTGGAACATAGCCATGCTCACCCATTTACATATCATTATGGGTGCAACTCAATGGCAAGTTAAGGGTTCTTACAGAGGCCTTATCACCTTTAAAGACAATTCTTGTTTGGCCCTTTACAGAAAACGTTGGCCAATCCCTGATCTAGAGTTATGTTGCAATTGATAACATTTATCAACCCAGATTTAAATAATCATTTTAAGTTTGTAAACAAATGAAAATGATAAAAAATATGGCTTATGAAACCCCCAAACCACAATAAACTTGACTCTTAATTTTAACTTGTGTCACAGAGATGCATCTCTCCCTACTCTGTGCCTTGCAAACCATGCCCCAGCCTCACTGGCCTCAGTTTCATATACTGGGCAGGTACATCCCTCACTAAAGTCTTCATGTCAATAATTCCCTCCACCTGAAATGCCCTTACCCTAGATACTAGAGTTCTAACCTCCTCACCACATTATGTCTTTAGCCAAATGTTACTTCACTGATTTCAAATACCCAGTTTTAAAATTCAGCCAGCCACCCCATCACACCAATACCCCTTTATCCTGCCTTATTTCACTATTTTTTACTATGTTTCACTTACCACCTTTTAACATACCATATTATAATATTCCTGTATATAGAGCTTTTTGTTGTCTATCTCCTTACACTAGAAAGTAGCCCCGTGGAGGCAGGGATTACGATTTTGTTTACTAATGTGTTGTAAGTGTCTAGAACATTTTTGTGGTACATAGTAGGTGATCAATAAATCTCTGCTGAATTAATGAAGGAAAGGAAAGAACACAGCCTCACCTAATGAGAGAAGATTCCTGTAATTCTCCAGCATCACTTCTTTGTATAGATTCCTCTGCTCTGGACTCAGTCTCTTCCATTCTGCTTCCGTGAAGATCACAGTCACACCCCTGAATGTAACTGGTACCTACAAACAACCAGTAAATTAATGTATAGCAAGCCACCATCAATCTTCCCTGTGTGTGGAGCACAGCTGGTGGCCCTGGAGAGCCTGGATATGCAAGTTGATGTAATTTGTCAGAGTACACGGTTCTCCATATGAAGTTCTTCTGAGCACTACTGCATGCCTGGCTTTCTGTTTTTTGTTTGTTTGTTTGCCTGTTTGTTTGTTTGTTTGTTTGAGACGGAGTTTTGCTCTTGTTGCCCAGGCTGGAGTGCAATGGTGCAATCACCACAACCTTTTCCTCCTGTGTTCAAGTGATTCTCCTGCCTCAGACTCCTAAGTAGCTGAGATTACAGGCATGTGCCACCACACCCAGCTAATTTTTTGTATTTTTAGTAGAGACGGGGTTTCTCCATGTTGGTCATGCTGTTCTCAAACTCCTGATCTCAGGTGATCTGCCAGCCTCAGCCTCCAAACTGCTGGGATTACATACGTGAGGTACCACACCTAGCGCCTGGCTTTCTGTTAAAACCTGTGAGGAGCATAACTGAGCACAGAACACATTCTAGGCCCTTGACACATATAATTTCACTGGAGAAATGATTTGTGAATTAGTTTGTAAACCTCAGGAGTGTTTAGGACAGTGACCTTGAGGATGCATAAGGAAGGAATTCAGAGACAGAGTGGCAGAGAATGGGCTGCAGAAGGAATAAAAGCATCACGGACTTGGGGCTAGTGCTGGGCAGCAGGGAGTGGTGAAGATTTAGAGGAGAAGATGGAAGAAAACTTTGGTTACAGAGAAAAATGGAAATGAACAGATGGGGTCTGGAATGAGCATTTTTTTAAAGTTTAGGTTACGAAATGGGATCTGTAAAATCCTTGTCTTTGCTATGTATTTTAACAACCTTTTTCAACAAAGCCTAATGCTTCACTCATCTACCCAGATGTTGACCACCTTTTCCCTTCCCAAGAAAGAGAATACACATCTGTTCTCTGTGAAATGAGCCAGCAATTCAGGGAAAAAAATGTAACCCCCAACTCACCACTATTTGGACCTTTTCCTCCTTTTCCTGGGGCCAGTCAGTATCATTAGAAGGCAAGCCTAGGGGAAGAAAAAGAAGCCATGAGAAACCAGACCTCCTTCCCCACCCATGACACTCCCTGAGCAGCTCTTCTAACCCGTAGGAAGGAGTCACTTTACTCAGAGGTGACCTCTGAAGCATTCTTAGGTGAATCTGGAGTCTTGGCTCCCTCTTCATCTCTCCAGCCCCTCAACAATTCTCACCTTTTGCTTTACGATTTTGAGCCAGTTTCTTCATGGTCTCTATATTTTCCCCATTCTTTGAAAGGAAAATCTCCTCCCAGTCTTCATCTCCCAGTGCTGAAGGATAAGGCAACATCATGGCCCCAGAGTCAGCCCAGTGTGTGCCTTGAAATTCTGCCAGAGGTCCAGGTACACGTTATTTCATCTCAAGATGGATTCTGCTACCTTCTTCCAACCTTAATTGTAAAAGCCCATCTTTTTTCCATGCAGCCAGGACCTGTGGGATGAAGAAGCAATGTGATATTGCTGGGGCTTTTATTGTGGGCCCTAGGTCTATGCCTCTTCAACAGGGATCCTGTCCTCTCATACCCTCCTTATTCAACAAACATGGAGTCTCCGTCTATAGGGGTTCCCTGGATTGTCTACCTTCATTTCTAGGCCCTCATGCTTATATTCTGCCACCATCCCTTAGCTCTCAAAATTTATTTCTTCTGCCTCTGCACCTCAGATTCAAACTCTATGTTTTGGATCAGTCTCTGCTACTACCTGAAGCCTGAATCAGAGAGAAGACAGAATATAAGATAATGCCTGTGGAGAAAGAGCCTCTGAATGTTTCCTGCAGACCAATCAGTGCCTGCAGAACTCAGCTTCTGACTCCCCTGCCCCGGCCCAAGTTTCCATCTATATTCAATTCCCTATGTCTTGGATGGGCACAGTGGCTTACATCTGTAATGCCAGTACTTTGGGAGGCCAAGGCAAGCGGATTGCTTGAGCTCAGGGGTTCAAAACTAGTCTGGGCAACATGGCAAAAATGCCATCTCTACAAAAAATACAAAAGTTAGCTGGGCATGGTGGTGTATGCCTATACTCCCAGCTACTCAGCAGGCTCAGGTGGGAGGATCACCTGAGCTTGGGAAGTCAGGGCTGCAATGAGCTGAGATCGTGCCACTGTACTCTAGTCTGGACGACAGGAGTGAGACCCTGTCTCAAAATATCTATATATTCTATATCCCTGTATTCTGAGGCATTTAGGAGATCAAAACTCAGTCCTTCTTACTTAAGGGAGAGCTCCAGGTCTCACAATTACTCTGAAGAGATAACCCCCGCCCCCAGCTGCCATTTCCATGCATGACTTTCCACCCCATGACCTTATCAGAGATGTGCATTTGTGTATCCTGATGGGCCCAAGTCAAAGTCCTTCACTGATGTGGTCCCAAAGAAGGCAGGTGGTATTCGGAGCTATGCCACCTTCAGAAGCTCCTCAAACGCTGTCTAAGATTTTACCCCAAATGCCTATTGTTGCCTAGTACCCTTCTGAGACTAGCTGGGGCCTCTAAGCAGCTCTAGTAATTCATCCCCCAACACCACAGGCAGAGATGATCACTCCCTCTTCTGTCAAACCTGGGCATCATACCATATTGCAATTTATCTATTTATGTGACTGTCTTTACTAAACTGTGACGCTTCTTGTAAATGAAATGAATCTTAGTCTTTTTGCTAATCTAATTCTAGTGATAGGGATAAAAGAGGCCTTTGTGGTAGATTTTATCATTGTTCCCAATTACTTGTTGCTCTATAAAAGGACTGTACTTCCCTGTCCCAGACATCAGGCTTGACCTTGTAACTTGCCTTGGAAAATGAATGTGAGTGAAAGTGACAATGCCATTTCTAAGCACTGCATAATTCCACCATTTCTCTTGTTCTCAGAACTATGTCCCCAAAGGGACTGTGGTTCTCTTGTAAAAGGTCATGGTACAGAGATAAAGTCAGCATATAATACCTACAGTACAACTTAGCTGAAGCTGACAAAGCCTTTCTCCTAGAAACACTAGTATCTGTAGCTAATATTTGTAAAGCAAGATCTGTACTAAGTGCAGATTTTTTTTTTTTGAGACAGAGTCTCACTCTGTTGCCCAGGCTGGAGTACAGTGGCGCAGTCTCAGTTTCAAATAATTCTCCTTCCTCAGCCTCCTGAGTAGCTGGGATTACAGGCGCCTGCCACCATACACAGCTGATTTTTTTTATACTTTTAGTAGAGACTGGGTTTCACCATATTGGCCAGGCTGGTCTTGAACTCCTGACCTCATGATCTACCAGCCTCGATCTCTCAAAGCGTTGGGATTACAGGCGCAAGCAACTGGCCACTAAATGCAGTTTCTGATAATCTTCACAACACAGCCAAGAAGTGGATGCTGCTATTTTTTTCCATCTCACAAAGGAGGAAACCGGGGCACCAAGGGGCTGCTTTATTTGTCTTTAAGATTACACAGAGACCAAAAGTCAGAGCCTGGCCCAAGGGTGGGCTCAGTTATTCTATAATAATAACCTCCACAGAATCTCAGCGACTTAATGTAATGAAGGTTTATTTCTCATCAGACTCCATGACTATTATCTGTCAACTAATTCATCTTCACTCAAGGACTGGGGCTAATAGTGTAGCCCCTATTTGGAAAATGGCCAGTGGAAGTAGCAGAGGAAGACAATAGATGGAGAACCATATACAAGTGCTTAAAAATTCTACCCAAAGAGACAATTCTGACCATAGCTCACTGGCAAATCAAGTCACCTGGTCACTCCTGAGTTCCACATGATAGGGTGTATACCTATAAGGAGTGGCCACACAATGAGGATGAAGAGTGAAACATGCTACTATAAGGACCCAAGCCCATAAACCCATTCCCACCTAGCCCTAGTCCCCACTATTGATTCAGCCTCCAAAGTACAAAGATTTGTGGTTGTGCCTAGAAGACAAAAATGAAGGACATGGTCCCATCACTTGCCATACCATCACAGAACAAGCAGGGATGCTGTCCAGGAGGAACAAACAGGATGCTCTCAGGGTGGATCCAAAGAATGAAAATCATGCTGCTATTTAGAGCATAAGATGAAGTCTGCCCATCCATCCAGGAAGAAACACTCCAGACAGAGGACAGTCTGATCAAGAAAGGAGAAGGGGCTCGGTGCAGTGGCTCATGCTTATAATCCCAGGACTTTGGGATGCCGAGGCAAGTGAATCACCTGAGGTCAGGAGTTCGAGACCAGCCTGACCAACATGGAGAAACAGAGTCTCTACTAAAAATACAAAATTAGCCGGGTGTGGTGGCACATGCCTGCAATCCTTGCTACTCAGGAGGCTGAAGCAGGAGAATTGCTTGAACCCGGGAGGTGGAGGTTGCCATGAGCTGAGCTCACACCATTGCACTCCAGGCTGGGAAACAAGAGCAAAACTCTGTCTCAAAAAAAAAAAGAAAGAAACTAAGAAAGGAGAGGAGAAGGGGGGCAGGGAGAAGGAGAGGAAGAGAGAAAGAGAGGGAGAAAAACAAAATGGGTAATTTCTTAAGAGAATAAAAATTAACTAAAATCAAATATAGGTGAAAAAAATGAACAAATTTTTAACCAGAGAAAAAAGTGAAAAGGTAGCCAAAGATCTGCTCTACAAAAGGCATCAGCTTCACATAATTTTATTGTCCAGTTCAAGCCAAACTTTGAGGAACAGGTAATTCCTGTAATAAATATTAAATCCCTGGCCAGGCGCGGTGGCTCAAACCTGTAATCCCAGCACTTTGGGAGGCTGAGGTGGATGGATCATGAGGTCAAGAGATCGAGACCATCCTGGTCAACATGGTGAAACCCCGTCTCTACTAAAAATACAAAAAAATTAGCTGGGCATGGTGGCGTGTGCCTGTAATCCCAGCTACCCAGGAGGCTGAGGCAGGAGAATTGGCTGAACCCAGGAGGTGGAGCTTGCAGTGAGCTGAGATTGCGACATTGCACTGCAGCCTGGGTAACAAGAGCAAAATTCCGTCTCAAAAAGTAAATAAATAAATATTAAATCCCCAAAACATTTATTTAAATGATTCGTAACTCATTCATTCACCAAAAATAAAACACTACAAAAAAAGAAAGCTAGGGGTCAATGCCATTTGTAAAAATAGATGCAAAAATCCTATGTATAAAACACTACCAAACTGAATCCAGCTGTACCTTAATGAAATAATAATACATCATACCAAGTAGACTTTATCCTAAGAATGACAGGACAGTTTCACATCAGAAAAGCTACTACAGGAGGGGAAACTTCCATTACTCTTTCATTAAACTGATCATCTGGAATACTTTCACCTGAGAAAAGATGACTGACTTGTTCACATGTCGCCCTATGTGCTCCATCACATCTATCCATACAGATAGGCGAGTATATGGACATTCAGTGTATTAAGAGCAAATTTTTCAACTTTTGTGTATGCATGAAAATGTCACAAAAAATGTTATGGGAAAATCAGATCCAAAAAGACTTAAGTATTTGCAAAATACATGATGAGTCTAAAAAAGCCATTTATATCTGCTTATTGCTATTTCCCAGAGAAATCAATTTATCTGTCTTATTTTCATTCCAAAGGTAAATAAGTCTATTTCTCACTACATTATAAGAGACTTCAGGGATGAAAAGCTATCTGTGGCCATAAAGCAAGCACACGAAATCTGCAGCAAACAAACACTGCAAGCACAACGTGCTGTATGAGATTTTATGTCTCAGCCACCTTCAGGGATATAATCTATTAGTTCCATTTGATTCTAACTGGGGTCTCAGAGACGGCAAATGATGTAAGTTACACAGTACATCCACATAAACTTCTCCTTACCCTTTTGTTTGCCAACTCCATTGTGACAAATAGATTTCCTTATAAAAATACAAAAATTTGGAGTGCAAATCTTCTTTAGAAGACTACAGAAAAGTCCAGTTAAAGACATCTCCCATGTCCAGCTAACTGTTTGATATAACACATAAACATCCCAAATTTCTCTAAATTCTTGGTCAGTTATTTTTTTCTCAAGAGCTCTTCCGCTATTACATCATTTATTTGTTCCCAATGTCTATAACACAGATGTTTTAAAGTGCACTGTCCCTGTGTCAGGCAGGCATAAGATGACATCCCAAACTCGATAACTGAGGAGAGTTTAGTAAATGAACAATTTACAAAGGCACAGTCAGGGTTAGGTGAAACAAAAGGATGCTGCAGTCCCATGGATGGTCACAAGAGCAAAGGGTCTTTACCAACACCAGGTCTAAATGGGAGGGAGCAGTTACCAGAACCAGGAGCTAGAACCATGTAGAAAGGACTGTTTGACAGAAGTTCTGGCCTTCGACAGAGGTGACCCAGCACAGATAGAGCCAAGGGACCAAACACGTAACAACAGAGGAGGGAACTCTGAAGCTAGAAAAGGTATCTGAACCAAGTCTCCTAAAGCAAATGAGTAATTATTGGATATTCTAATTCTGTCAACCCCTGTGAACTACAGCAGAATTTCTGGTATAGAATAAAGGAGACATAAATATGATATGTGATATGGTCTGGCTCTGTGTCCCTCCCCAAATCTCATGATGAATTGCAATCTCCAATAATGCAGGGGGACCTGGTAGGAGGTCACTGGATCATGGGGACAGATTTCCCCATTGCTGTTCTCATGAGAGCGAGTTCTCACAAGATCTTGTTGTTTGAAAGTGTATAGCACTTCTCCCTTCCCTCTCTCTTTCCTGCTGCCATGTGAAGATGTGCTTGCTTCCCCTTTGCCCTTCTGCCATGATTGTAAGTTTCCTGAGGCCTCTCCAGCCATACTTCTCTACAGACTATGGAACTGTGAGTCAATTAAACCCCTTTTCTTTATAAATTACCTAGTCTCAGGCAGTTCTTTATAGCAGTGTGAGAACAAACTAATACAATATGGAAAAGGTTCATTTTGTAAAAACCCAGTAATCCTGAATTTGTAATGGAAATATCGGTATGAACTTATGAAATATTTCTTAGCTCTGTCTACTATAAAAGCCTAGAAACAGTGATCAATTCAGTTACAATGATCATCCTCAATGCCCAGATTTTTATCTTTTTCTTGACCTGGGTATTTACTTTATTCTAATTCACTACATTATACATCTTTTTAGTATATTTTTTTGTTTAGTTTCTTTTTTTTATGAAGTTTTATGTCCTGTGCTTTATTTTATAATAATAAAATAAAAACTATAAAGACACAGAAAATAAAACCATGGTGTTAGTGCTTCAGTAGACAGAAGAATGGAACAGAACACAAAGTCCACAAAGAGATTCATGTATATTTGGGATTTTAATATACAGTAAATACAGTAATATACAGCATCTCGAAATAGGAAAGGATGGCCTCTTCATAAAGGATTAAGACAAGCTGCTATCCAGTTAGAAATTAGACTCTTAGCTCATACTTTACATAAAAATTAATTCTAGGTAGATTAAGTGCTAAAGATTAGAAACAAAAAATTAGAAACATATAGAGGAATATACATGGGACCTTGAGGAAGGGCAGACCTATTTTTAAAAATCAACCAACCAGCTGGGCATAGTGGCTCGCGCTTGCAATCTCAGCACTTTGAGAAGTCGAGACAGGTGGATCACAAGGTCAGGAGTTCAAGACCAGCCTGACCAACATGGTGAAACCCTGTCTTTACTAAAAATACAAAAAATAGCTGGGTTTGGTGGTGCATGCCTGTAATCCCAGCTACTCAGGAGGCTGAGGCAGGAGAATCACTTGAACCTGGGAGGCAGAGATTGTAGTGAGCCAAGATGGTGCCACTGCACTCTAGACTGGGCTAGACAGGAAGACTCTGTCTAAAAAAAAAAAAAGCCTGGGCAAGGTGGCTTATGCCTGTAATCCCAACACTTTGGGAGGCCAAGGTGGGTGTATCATTTGAGATCAGGTGCTTGAGACCAGTCTGGACAACATGGTAAACCCCATCTCTACTAAAATACAAAAATTAGCCAGGCATGGTGGCAGGCACCTATAATCCCAGCTACTCGGGAAGCTGAGGCAGGAGAATTGCTTGAACCTGGGAGGTGGAGGTTGCAGTGAACCAAGATTGAGCCACTGCACTCCAGCCTGGGTGAAAAAAAAAAAAAAAACCCAACACCATAAATTCCAGAAGCCATTAAGGAGAAAATGCTGAAAAGAGGAGGACATAAGGACATTTTTGGGGGGTGATTGAAAAGCTTAATATATTGATTGGTGATATGGTTACATGGGAATACCTATCTGTCAAATTTTATTGAAATATATACTTAAGATCTTTATATTTTACTGTATATAAGTTATACCTGTTTTGTTTTGTTTTTTGTGTTTTTTTTGAGACCGAGTTTCTCTCTTGTTACCCAGGCTGGAGTGTAATGGTGCGATCTCGGCTCACGGCAACCTCCTCCTCCTGGGTTCAGGCAATTCTCCTGCCTCAGCCTCCTGAGTAGCTGGGATTATAGGCACGTGCCACCATGCCCAGCTAATTTTTGTATTTTTAGTAGAGACGGGGTTTCACCTTGTTGACCAGGATGGTCTCAATCTCTTGACCTCGTGATCCACCCGCCTTGGCCTCCCAAAGTGCTGGGATTATAGGCGTGAGCCACTGATACCTGTTTTGTTTTAAAGAATAAATTTAAAAATCCTTCTCAGGGATACATACATAAAATTAAACGCCTGATATCTGGAACTCACCATATGCCAGAAGTGATTTGGATTGTCAATCAAAAGCCCTCAGAGTTCCCCTCCCTACCTAACCCTTCACAGCCCAAACCAGAAATTTGGCCCTAACATGTGAGGCAAAAGCAGACAAGTAAAGAAGTCAGCCAGAAGGGCCACCCAGATTAAAACCAAACCCAGGATCTTTGCCACAAAGCACAGGGGCACCTGCAACATGACACACCTTGGGACATCAGGTCCCAGAGAAAAGACGCCCCCATTCAAGAAAGCTCCCTAAAATCCCAGGGACTCCTGACCCAAGACACTCGCCCAGACCCTCTAAGGATATTTTGACCACCCCTGAACCCCTAAAGGCCCATCAAGCATCAAGGCCTGAAATGGCCTACCCCTCACCCCACCCCCGTCACCACTTGGGACATATCCAGCCCCACCCAAAAAACAGAAAAGCAAAAAATAAAACCTTGGCATCCACGATCAGCCCTGTATTCCCACAACCATTCGGAGATACAGGACTGAAAAAGCTCCCCAGCCAAAACCACCCAGGGATGTGGGGACCTAGCCACTTTCCCACCCTAGCCTCGGGGATGGTTGTCCATTTGGCCCTGGCTAAACTCATTCCCACAACCCAGAGAAACCCCAGGATGCACGACGGGGGCCGCCCTCCTTATTCTTAAACTGCTTGACCCAGAATAATCCCGCCTGGTTCAAGACAGACAGAGCTCCAGGTCAATCTCGTCCCAGTGGAGGAAGAAAGGTCCGCGGAGGTCCCAACGGCCCCAAGGTTACCAGCGCGAGCTGGTGCTCACCCCATCGCCTGGCCCCAGTGGGCACCGCAAGCCGCGCCCCCTCCTCCAAAAACCAAATATCCTCAACCTGCACTCTCCATCGGCTACACTACCCCGCGTCCTAACCTAGGCCCGGCCTTTCCACACCCTCTTTTCCCTACGAGAGAGGGCATCCTGGGGCCAAGGAGCGGTGGAGGCCGAGCTCACCAGAGCCAGCAGGCGAGTTCTCAGACCTCACGCGCCGACCTATGCCAGAACTACAGTACCAGCATCCTCGCAGGCTTCGGCTCCCACTGGTCGCCACGGAGCCGCTTCTGGGCTGTGCAACGGTTAATTTACCAGGACAGTGTCTACTGCAGTGACAGCCTCTGTCTCTTCTCTTAAAATCCCATGCTGAAAACAGATTCTGGCTCCCGAGTGAAGTCTCTGTCCTCTCGGCCCAGTCTTCAAAAAAAAAAAAAAAAGACTACACTCCCCACAAGCCTCTGCGGGAGCTTCCGCAGGAGCTTCCGGAAGCTGGGGTTAACCAGAGAAACCATTTCCGATATGCGAATCTAGCGGGAGCGGTTCGTGGGCTGTTAGGCGTGCATTGGATAGTTTCCTGCACCTAACCAGCCGAATTCCTTGGGCTGAGGCTCCATAGCATGCTAACTACTGTTACCGGGGGAGTACCCAGCTTGTAGATTCTTGGCCTCTCTACCCCCAAGAATGGGGAAAGGGGCCCAGGAAGCGCAGTGAGTTTACCGTCTGAATAAAATCGTGGACCCAAAGAATTTTTGCGGAAGAAAGATTTATTAGACAGAGAAAGAGAGAAGATAGCTCCCACACTGTGGTGGGAGGGGAACCCAGAAAGGAAAATCCGTTCAGGTAGGAACACAGCTGAAGTTTTAACCCTTGAGTTGTTCCCTCCCCATTCATGTTCTCGTCCAATGAGAGTTCTTTTTTTTTTATTTTACTTTATGTTTTGGAGCCTGGATTGTAAGAGAGGAGTTCTTTTAAACTTCCTCTGGAGTGATTGATCTTTGACTCTGATACCAGATTGGCTACTTGTTCCACAACCCTGCATTACAGAACCCCCTCCTCCCAGAGCTTTCCGCGGGAATTTAGCCCCACCCGGTTTTCACGAAGCGGGAAGATAGGACAAAGAATTTACTCGACCCACCTGGTGGAGGTGCTCAAAGAGCCCTAACCGCCTGAGGCGGGGGAGCCGGGAAATTCCTGCATTTGAATCCCCTCTGGTCTCGGGATGGAGGCTTGGAGAAAGTACTCCAAGAGCCCCTGCCTCAGGCGGGAAGAGGGAAATTCCTGCTCTGGAAACCCCTCCCCTAGCGACCAGGGGAGAAAAGTTTCTTTAACATAGTACCTCACTACCTTACGAGAACCATGTAAATGCGACTTCGTGCAGCCTGTGGGACACAGGCAAGGCAAAGCCGCCTCCCAGCATCTCAGCTGAGCTCTTACCCTCAACACCAGTACACTCTTATGGGTGCCCTTTAGTCACCTTCTCTTGTCGAAGTCCTCGAAATTAGTGACAGATTCATCGAGTTCCGGGAGGATGGAAGCCTCACTCAGGCTGGAGTCTGGCTCGGTGGCCTCTTAGCTAAGATCCCGGTTCAGATCTGGGATAGTAGAACCGGGTGTGGAGGCGCATGCCTGTAATCTCTGTAACCCCTAGAGAGGCTGAGGCTAGAGGATGGCTGAGCCCGGGAGTTATATATATATTTAAAACTGGTCTGTGCTGGGACCTTCTGCAATTACAAATTGCCATTACTATTTCAGCTGATGGGAGAAGCATTTAAATAGTAATGGCAAATACAAATTGAATTAAATTTTGCTTGTTGCTGAAAGGAAAATAAACCTGACCTCCCACCCTTGGCATATTTCCATGAGAAATCTGTGTAAGTGCCCTTGTGATACGTACCTGATACTTTTGAAAGGCTGAGTAAGCATCTGCCAGCTTTACAAAACAGGAATGTTTCCCCCAAAAGCCTGGTGAGCCATCTCTTTGAAATGTAAGCAATGAAGAAGATAGTGCCCTTATCTCCCTGTCACCTTGTAACTTTAGCTTAAATGCCTACCTTCAAACTGGTAACCGCCGGCTTGTCGTAGATAAAAGTTGTATTTTTTTCTTTTTGAGAAAGGCAATTAACTAGTATAGGTGGCTACCCCAATTACCAGGTGCATTTAGAATGAACTATGAAAAATTGTACAGCAAACAATTTCAAATCCTCTTACATGAGGGCAAATTACTCTTAATTTTGAGGACATGTTTGTAATAGATTGTATCTTCTCAACTAGATAAAAAGTGAGATCTCTTTCTGTCTTTGGCATCTGATTAGCAGATTGTCTATGATGTGCTTCACAGTCCGGTTTAATATTATTTGATAATAAAACTGTTCTCTTTCTTTTCTGCATTTGCGAATGGGATTTTCTGGGTTAGCCGGAGATTTTGTTTTTATTTTCTCCAACACCTCTTTCCATCCTCTTATTTCTTTTCACCTTCCCAGCATCAGCCTTCTGAGATTTCTCTGTTCTTCAGTACTCAAGAGATAGAGAACATGGACCCAAGGCAGCCAGAAGATAGACATTTCTTGATATTCTGACCTGGCTTTCACAGAAAGGACCAATTGCCTTCTCTTGTCTTGGAGGCTGCCATGTTAATACTGGGCAGAATCTGTTACTGAAACACCAGGGGTTGGATCTAGGTCCTGCTGCTTGCCAATCAGAAAGCCAATCACTGAGACAATGACTATTGCAAGGGAAGAAGGCTTTAATTGAGTACTGCAGCCAAGTAGATGGGAGATCAGTCTCACATCCATCTCCCTGACTGGCCAAAATCAGGCGTTTGTATAGCAGGGAAGAATTGTAACTTTGTGTGGGAAAACAGAAATTAGGAAGAGGAGTTGGAATAGGTGATTGGTTAGGCAATCATGACTAATGAGGAGTCTGGGTTCTCATTGTCCAGATGCAATGATCTGCCAAGTTGCAGCTCCTTGATACTATCTGGGAGGCCTGAAGGATGAACCCATTTCTTTTCTCTCCTTTTCCTTTTCTTTCTTTCTTTTTTTTTTTTTTTTTTTTTTTTTTTTTTTTTTGACAGAGTCTTGCTCTGTCACCCAGGCTGCAGTACAGTGGCATGATCATCACTCACTATCTTACTGTGGCAGTGATCAACCTCCTGGGCTCAAGTGAGATCTCACCCCAAGGTAGTTGGGACTACAGGCGCACGCCTGGCAAATTTTTTATTTTTTGTAGAGATGGGGTTTTACCTTGTTTCCCAGGCTGGTCTTAAATTCCTAGGCTCAGGTGATTCTCCCACCTCAGCTTCCCAAAGTGCTAGGATTATAAGCATGAGCCACCACACCTGGCCTGGAAAGATCAATTTATATTTAATCAAAAAAATAATAAACATCAGTTCTGTGGGACAATTGGGCCAGTTTCAAATCCATCCCTTGATCTGGAGCCCTCCCTTTGCATCCCTCTCTGCTCCATGTGACTGTTATTTATCATGTGAATAAAATCTATGGGACAGTTAAAAATACCAGGACAGAGGTGACATCAATGGGAAATCTCTGTCCCTTCTGTTTAATTTTGCTATGGACCTAAAATTCCTCTAAAAATGAAGTCTATTCATAAAAGGGCAAAATTAGGAAAATTTTGCAAAGTTTTTACTTGCCCCTTACCCTGCTTTCCTCCCTGGCTCTTCAGCAGTCTCAAAGCCTACATTCACAGCAAAGATGCAATTATGACAGACCCACAGCTAACATCAGAAAACTGAAAACTTTTCCCTTAAGGTCAGTGACAAGACAAGGATGCCACTTCTCTTCAACATTGTACTGGAAGGTCTCTTTACAGCAATTAGACAAGAAAAAGAAAAGCCATTCAAATGGGAAAAGAAGAAGTAAAATTATCTCTATTCATAGATTATGTGATCTTGTATATAGTAAACCCTACATTTCTATAACAACGATTTGAAAATAAGAAAATAGTTCCATTTGCAACAGCATCAAAAAGAATAACATTTGGAATAAATTTAACCAAGAAGGCACAAGACTTGTACACTGAAAATTACAAATCATTGCTGAAAGAAATTGTATAAGCTCCAAATAAATGAAACTACATACTGTGTTCATGGGTTGGGAGACTTAATATTGTTAAGATGGCACTACTTCTCAGAGCAATCTACAGATTCAATGCTATCCCTGTCAAAATTCCAGTGGCTTTTTGCAGAAATGGAAAAGTTGATCCTAAAGTTCATATGAAATTTTAAGGGACCCAGAATAGCCAAAACAATTTTGAAAAAAGAACAAAGTTGGAGGACTCACTCTTCTTAATTTTAAAACTTAATACAAAGCTTTAGTAATTAAAACAGTGTGGTACCACCATAAGGGTAGACATAGACCAATGGATAGGATTGAAAGTCTAGAAGTAAAACCATACAGAAATGGTCAATTGCTTTTCAACAAGGAATTTAATGGGGAAAGAATGGCCTTTTCAATAAATGGTGCTGGAACAACTGGATAACCACAAGTAAAAGAATGAAGTTGGACCTCTACCTCCAACTATACACAAAAATTAACTGAAAGTTGATAAAGATCTAAATGTAAAAGCTAAAACTCTTAGAAGAAACCATAGGGGTTAATTTTCATTACGTTGCATCTGAAAAATTGTTTCTTAGATATGACACCAAAAGCAGAAGCAACAAATGGAAAAATACATTGGGCCAGTCTCAGTGGCTCACACCTATAATCCCAGCACTTTGGGAGGCAAGGCAGGAGGATCATTTGAGCTCTGGAGGTCAAGACCAGACTGGGCAACATAGACTCCTTCTCTACAAAAAAAAAAAAAAAAAAAATCCCCCAAAAAATAGCTGGGCGTGGTGACAGGCACCTGTAGTCCCAGCTACTTGGGAGCCTGAGGTGGGAAGATAACTTGAGCCTGGGAGTTTCAGACTGCAGTAAGCCATGATTGTACCACTGCACTCCAGCCTAGATGACAGAATGAGACCCTGTCTCAAAAAAGAAAAAGAAATTGGAATTTAGCAAAATGTAAAACTTTGTGCACCAAAGGATACTACTGGAAGAGTGACAAGACAACCCGGAAGAATGAGAGAAAATATTTGCAAATCATATTGGCCTAGTGTCCAGATAATATTGGCCTACTGTCCAGATAATGGCCTAGTGACCAGAATATATTAAGATGTCTTATGCCTCAATAACAAAAAGACTAACAACCCAATATTAAAATGGGCAAAGGACTCAAATAAACATTTCTTCAAAGAGATAACTGCATACAAAACAGCCATCAAGAACACACACAAAAATGCTTAATATCACTAGTCATTAAAGAAGTGCAAACTAAAACTGTAATAAAACACCACACCCACTAGAATGGCTATAATAAAAATACTTTTTTAAAGGAAAATAACAACTGTTGGCAAATATGTGGAGAAATTAGAACCCTTATACCCTTGGGGAAATCCACTTTGCAGTTCCTCAATAAGTTAAACATAGAATTACCATTTGGCCCAGCATTTCCACTCCAGGCTATATGCCCCAAAGAATTGCAAACAGGTGTTCAAAGAAAAACTTGTGTAAAATGTTTACATCAGCACTATTCAGAATAGCTGAAAGGTGGAAACAATCCAAATGTTCATCAGTTGGTGAATGGATAAGCAAAATATGGTAAATCCATACAATCAAATATTATTCAGTGATAAAAAGGAATGAAGTATGGATAAATGGTGTAACATGGATGAACCTTGAAAACCTGCTAAGTGAAAGAAACCAGACACAAAAGACCACATACTGTATCATTTCACTTATATGAATTTATATCTCCAGAATAGGTAGATCCATGGAGACAGAAAGTAGATTAGTAGCAGGGTCTAATGGGAAGGTGAAATGCAAAATGACCACTTAATGGGCACGGGATTTCCTTTTGGGGTGATAAAAATGTTCTGGAATTGCTATAATGGGATGTCTTGATTGGAGAATCACATAAAAGGAAAAAGAAATTTAAAAATTAGAAAATAAATACAAAGGAAAAAAATATTCTGGAGTTAGATAATGGTGATGTTGGGCAATACTGTGAATGCACTAAATGCCTCTGTGCAACTTAAAATGGTTAAGTGTTAAATTTCTTCCTTGTGTTGGAATGAACTGAGCTAGTAGAAGTAATACTTACATGAGCTAAAAGCCGAGGAACACAAACTTGCCTCAAGTGCCCTTTTCTTCTGCAAGTAAGACCAAATTAAATGTAGCTCGGGAGCATTTGTGAAAATGAGCTTGAATCGCCTGTGTTCTCAAAAGAATCTTCAAAAGGATTCCGAAGTACTTAAGATGTTCACAACTTCAAAGATCTTAGAAATTCTCTTATTGGGAGTTGTAAGCAATTATAGTGAATCAAAGCAGTATTTGTGTAAATAACCATACAAGTTCTCAAAGAACCCTCTTGTAGCTAGTCAAATTAAAATAAGATGAATCCAGCCAGTATTTGTATAAATAAGCAGTCTAATTTAAAGAAGCTCAATATTATATTTTTTTAAATATATATTTTTTAAACTAATACTATGCGTTTAGTGAATTAGAAGCCAAAGCTGGCCAGGCATGGTGGCTCACGTCTGTAGTTACAGCATTTTGGGAGGCCAAGGCAGGCAGATCACTTGAAGTCAGGGGTTCAAGACCAGCCTGGCCAATATGGTGAAACCCCATCTCTACTAAGAATATTAATACAAAAAACTAGCTGAACTTGGTGGCATGTGCCTGCTGTCCCAGCTAGTCAGGAGGCTGAGGCATGAGAATTGCTTGAACCAGGGAGGTAGAGGTTGCAGTGAGCTAAGTGAGCTGAGATCGTGCCACTGCACTCCAGCCTGGGTGATACAGTGAGACACTCTCTCAAAAAAAAAAAAAAAAAAGAAGAAGCCAAATCCAAAAAAGGAAAAAAAAAAAAAAAAAAAGAAAGACTTTCTACTCAATTTATTGCCGATTAGAATACGTTGATATTAATGTAAACTTTAAACAAACCAGGTGAGAAATATACTTTCATCTGACTTTCTTATTTGTCAGAGCTATTTATGATATTTGTGAAAAGGAGTTCTGAATCCCATATTGGTTTTTCTTTTTTAACCTCAATATATTCTCACATTAAAAAAAAAAAAAGAATCCCATATTGTTCTTAATAAATTTACATATGTAGTCAAAAGCATTCAAAATATGTACTGATACATGGAGGAATTACAGTGACTAAGCAGGATTTGTGAAATCAGCTCAGAATTGTTCTTCAGGGAATCTTCAAAAATATTCCAGAAGTATTCTAAAGTACTCCAACTCTAACTTCTTCGAACTGCTACTGCTAACTAGATAACTTGTGAAAATTTGAGACACATGTGTGTCCTGGAGCTTTTCTTTTACTTACTCTAGTTATTCTAATTATATCGAGTTACCTAGTTAGTCTCAGTTATCTTGTTACCTTTGCTTATCAATAGTTCTCACTAGTTATATGAACAAGAAATAAGCTCTAGTTAACAGGAATGTATAGTTGAGGTTCTTTGCTTAATCTTTACCGTTGACTTTGACCTTGGGCATGAACTTCAACCTTAGACTGTGAGGGTCAATGTGAGGGTTAGAGACAGGCTCAGGTGATGGTACCAGAGTGGGTATCACACAGATCCATATCTGCATCTTGAGGAGGATTGGAGTAAGGGTGAGTGTCAGGTTGTGATTTCGGCTAAAGGTGGGGGCTTATTCTCTGGAGTCAAATGGGGACTCAGCATTGGGAAGGATACAGTGGACTTTTTATCTTCTGGAAACAGAAGTAGGTCTGTAGCCTTTAGAGAGAGAGGTGGGTATATGGTAGAGACTTAGCCTTTGGATGGAGAAGTAGAATCTTAGTCTTTGGTGTAGGAAATGGGGAGCTTTGGTATGGGAAGTGGGGATTTAGCCTCTGAAATGGGAAATGGGGGCTTGGCCTCTGAAGCTGAAAATCTCGACTCAGCTTCCAGAAGGAAAAGCTGGGACATGGTGGGTGGTTAAGATCAAAGCCAGTTCCACAAAGAAGGGCTTTTGTGCCAGTCTGGAGGAGCTCCCTCTAGTGGGTGAGGGAAGCAGGACACTTTGAGATGAATGCATTTCTCAGCTTGTTTGCACATGTAAAGTTTACAAAGCATTTAAGAAGTGTGTAAGGTTTAAAATGAATAAGTTATTTTGAGCTCGATTTCACATAAACTCTTAGATATACTCTAAGTTACTGTAAGAAGGTTCTTTTGAGAATGCTTGAGTCTGCAGTTGTTTTAATATCAACTGTTACATGTGAATTATCTCTAAGGACCATTAAAAGTGTGGTTTAGGCCAGGCGCTGTGGCTAACGCCTGTAATCCCGGCACTTTGGGAGGCCGAGGCAGGCAGATCACCTGAGGTTAGGAGTTCAAGACCAGCCTGACCAACATGGAGAAACCCAGTCTCTACTAAAAATAAGACATTACGGTGGCTCACGCCTGTAATCCCAGCACTTTGGGAGGCCGAGGCGGGTGGATCACGAGGTCAAGAGATCAAGACCATCTTGGTCAACATGGTGAAACCCTGTCTCTACTAAGAATACAAAAAATTAGCTGGGCATGGTGGCACGTGCCTGTAATCCTAGCTACTCAGGAGGCTGAGGCAGGAGAATTGCCTGAACCCAGGAGGCAGAGGTTGCGGTGAGCCGAGATGGCGCCATTGCACTCCAGCCTGGGTAACAAGAGCGAAACTCCGTCTCAAAAAAAAAAAAAAAAAAATTTCTTTGCCAGGCGTGGTGGCTTACGCCTGTAATCCCAGCACTTTGGGAGGCTGAGGTGGGTGGATCACCCAAGGTCAGGCGTTCGAGACAAGCCTGACCAACATGGAGAAACCCCATCTCTACTAAAATACAAAAGAATTAGCCAGGTGTGGTGGTGCATGCCTGTAATCCTAGCTACTTGGGAGGCTGAGGCAGGAGAATCACTTGAACCTGGGAAGCGGAGGTTGCAGTGAGCCGAGATCACGCCATTGCACTCCAGCCTGGGCAATAAGAGTGAAACTCCATCTTAAAATAAATAAATAATAAATAAATAAAAGTGTGGTTTAAAATGAATGAGTAATTTGGAGCTTGATTTTACCTATAATACTTAGTATTGACTACATTGAGTCTAATTTCACATAACAAGTTAGATGAAGGACATATTCCTTAATACTGTTAGATTTATCTAAATTGGTTCTAACTCATTTTGTTTACTTTCTCAGCACTAGAAGTTTCCTTAGAGGGAAATCTCTGATTCTCAGATTGTTTGCAAACACTCTACTTGTTTGGAAACATACACTTTTGTTTCAACATAATGTACTTTGGAGTTACTGTAGATGTGATATGACACTTTTTATTTAACCTACTTAATTTGTTCCAAGTTGCACTTAGATGATACTTTTCAGGTAACCATGTTTCTTTTTTTTTTTGAGATGGAGTTTCGCTCTTGTCCAGGCTGGAGTGCAATGGCGTGACCTCTGTCTCCTGGGGTCAAGCAATCATCCTGCCCTTCAAGCAGCTGGGGTTACATGTGTACACCACCACACCTGGCTAATTTTGTATTTTTTTTTTTTACTACAGATGGGGTTTCACCATGTTGGTCAGGCCTTCCACAATGCTAGGATTACAGGCATGAGCCACCGAGCCCAGCCAAGGTGACTGTGTTTCTGAACTTGTTTGCATAAGTGCAATTTACACAGCACTTACAAAGCTCTTATAATTTATTTTAAATGCATGCTTTTGAGTTTGTTTTCACATAGATGTCATTTGTCCTAATTTACCATATGAAGTTGAGTTTGGGAATACTTCTTAGATTTGTCTTCATTTTTCCAAACCTACAAAAAGATCATTGGAGATGAGTCTGAGCCAGTTTGTTTGTCTTTCTGAGCTAATGTGCTCTAGTTCATAATAAGTCAATCTAGCTCAGTTTCAATTTTAACATAAACTGCTTAATTACATTTATATTTACTCCAACTTATAATAAAAAGTTACTTTTAAGATCAAAGTGTAAGATCAGGCATGGTGGCTCACGCCAGTAATCCCAATATTTTGGGAGGCTGAAACAGGCAGATAGCTTGAGCTCAGGAGTTTGAAACTAGCCTGGGCAACATGGCGAAACCCTATCTCTACAAAAGGTACAAAAAAAATTAGCCGGGTATAGTAGCTTGTGCCTGTGGACCCAGCTACTTGGGAGGCTGAGGTGGGAGGATTACATGGGAGGCAGAGGCTGTGGCAGCAGCATTTGATTCAGAGCCACTCCATCTTGAATAGGGGCTGGGTAAAATAAGGCTGAGACCCACTGGGCTGCATTCCCAGGAGGTTAGTCATTCTAAGTCACAGGATGAGACAGGAGGTCAGCACAAGATACAGGTCACAAAGACTTTGCTTATAAAGCAGGATGTGGTAAAGAAGCTGGCCAAAACCAAAATGGTGATGAAAATGACCTCTGGTCGTCCTCCTCATTATACACTAATTATAATGCATTAGCATGCTAAAAGATTCTCACACCAGTGCCATGACAGTTTACAGATGCCATGGCAATGTCAGAAAGTTACCCTCTGTGGTCTAAAAGGGGGAGGAACCCTCAGTTCCGGGAATTTCCCACCCCTTTTCCAGAACACTCATCAATAATCCACCCCTTGTTTAGCACATAATCAAGATATAACTGTAAGTACACTCAGTTGAGCAGCCCATACAACTGCTCTGCCTGTGCAGTGGCCATTCTTTTATTCCTTAATTTTCTTAATAAACTTGCCTTCACATTATGGACTCGCAGGGAATTCTTTCTTTCTCACACACGATCCAAGAACCCTCTCTTGGAGTGTGGATGGGACACCTTTCTGGTAATAGTTGCAGTGGGCTGACATTGTGTCACTGTACTCCAGCCTGGGTCTAAAAAAAAAAAAACATTGAAGTGGGTGATTCTGAGCCTCTTTTAAAATACTGCTTAGGCCAGGTGGGGCAGCTCATGCCCATAATCCCAGCACTTTGGGAGGCCTAGGCAGGAGGATCCCTTGAGCCCAGGAGTTCAAGACCAGAATGGGCAGCATAGTAAGACCTGTCTCTCTACAAAATAGAAAAATTAACTGAGCATGGTAGCATGCACCTGTGCTCCTAGCTACCTGGGAGGCTTAGGATCTGCTTGAGTCAGGGAGCTCGAAGCTGCAGTGAGCCAGGATCATACCACTGCTCTCCAGCCTGGGGGACAAAGGGAGACCCTCCCTCAAAGAAAGAGACAGATAAATTATACTGCTTAAATTCATCTAAAGTCACTCTCACAAATTCTTACCCTGGCAGAGAATGTGTCATTTTGAGGTTGCTTTCACATATACCTACTAGTGTCCACTAGGTAGGTCCCCAGTTCCCATCGTGAGGCTGGGTTTCGCGTTCTGGTCCCAGGCTGCGCCCTCCCCCCCGCGTCATGCCATTGCCTGCCTCTGCGGCAAATCGCAGGTTTTGCCGCAGTGCCAAGTCCCAACTTGGCCAACAGGGGGCGCCCGACCGAACCTCCAGGACCTAGAAGGGCAGGCTTCCAGGCCCAATTCCTTGGTTGCGCGCTCACTCCCCTATGGTAGCTTGGGAAAGTCAGGTTCTGAGGCCACTGAAGCTGAAAGTGGGACTTCGCTTTTGGGCGACAAGTAGGCACTTAGCCTCCGCGAGTTGGCGGGTGGGGAGGGAACGGGGACTCGGCGTCTGGCAGCCTGGGTCGGCGCTATGGCGACAAATTGGGACTCATTCCCCTGAGCTTGAGGTGGGGGGCTTAGCCTCTGGGGGACGGGTGGGGACGCGGCCTCCGGTGGTGTAGACCGTCAGAGTCTCAGAGTGGAAGGCGTGTTAGACCTAGGATCAAAAATACCAGATTCCTTTTCTGGAGTGAAAACTGCGAGATTGGCCTCTGGAGGAAACCACAGGGCTGAGCCCCTCGGGGAGAGGAGGGGACTAAGCCTCAGGAGCGGGAACCCTCTGGAGAAAGGCCTCCATTGGGACCTTGGCCTCTGAGCCCCGCGGAAGATCGGGGGCCAGCGGGCAAGGTGGCTCACGCCTGTGATCCCAGGACTTTGGGAGGCAGAGGCGAGAGGATCAGTTGAGGTAAGGAGTTTGAGTCCAGCCTGGATGACAGAGCGAGACCCTGGCTCAAAATAAAAATAAGAGGAAAGGGCTGCACGGCGTGGGTGGGGGGGAGGGGGGCGGTGGGAGGGGCGGGCCTGCTGCAGTTCCGGGGTAGGCGTCCGGGCTTCCGGTCGTCCCCCGCACCTGGCTTCCTTCCTGGAAGGCCTCCACACCCTCTGCAAAGGCCCCTTGGATTCCCCCGGAGAGGCCCGCAGCTCTCGCCCACGCGCAACCAAGGAATTGGGCCTGGAAGCCTGCCCTTCTAGGTCCTGGAGGTTCGGTCGGGCGCCCCCTGTTGGCCAAGTTGGGACTTGGCACTGCGGCAAAACCTGCGATTTGCCGCAGAGGCAGGCAATGGCATGACGCGGGGGGGAGGGCGCAGCCTGGGCAGAACGCGAAACCCAGCCTCACGATGGGAACTGGGGACCTACCTAGTGGACACTAGTAGGTATATGTGAAAGCAACCTCAAAATGACACAATCTCTGCCAGGGTAAGAATTTGTGAGAGTGACTTTAGATGAATTTAAGCAGTATAATTTATCTGTCTCTTTCTTTGAGGGAGGGTCTCCCTTTGTCCCCCAGGCTGGAGAGCAGTGGTATGATCCTGGCTCACTGCAGCTTCGAGCTCCCTGACTCAAGCAGATCCTAAGCCTCTCAAGTAGCTAGGAGCACAGGTGCATGCTACCATGCTCAGTTAAGTTTTTTATTTTGTAGAGAGACAGGTCTTACTATGCTGCCCATTCTGGTCTTGAACTCCTGGGCTCAAAGGATCCTCCTGCCTAGGCTTCTCAAAGTGCTGGGATTATGGGCATGAGCTGCCCCACCTGGCCTAAGCAGTATTTTAAAAGAGGCTCAGAATCACCCACTTCAATTTTTTTTTTTTTAGACCCAGGCTGGAGTACAGTGACACAATGTCAGCTCACTGCAACTATTACCAGAAAGGTGTCCCATCCACACTCCAAGACAGGGTTCTTGGATCGTGTGTGAGAAAGAAAGAATTCCCTGCGAGTCCATAATGTGAAGGCAAGTTTATTAAGAAAATTAAGGAATAAAAGAATGGCCACTGCACAGGCAGAGCAGTTGTATGGGCTGCTCAACTGAGTGTACTTACAGTTATTTCTTGATTATGTGCTAAACAAGGGGTGGATTATTGATGAGTGTTCTGGAAAAGGGGTGGGAAATTCCCAGAACTGAGGGTTCCTCCCCCTTTTAGACCACAGAGGGTAACTTTCTGACATTGCCATGGCATCTGTAAACTGTCATGGAGCCGGTGGGAGCATCTTCCATAGGGAGGTGAGCATCTGGCATCCAGAGCCCCTGGCCCTCCACACAGTCCTGAGGCCTCTGGGGAGCCAGAGGTGGGGGAAAGGGTTCCAGGACCGCAGGGGCAATGAAGCCCCAAACCCTGAGCCACTCCTCTTACTTCTGGCCTTAAAGGGACTCGCGCACATGTGGCCGAGAACATTTACCAGAAAGGTGTTACTGTTGCTGGAAAGGGGTCCTGATCTAGACCCCAAGAGAGAGTTATTGGACCTCGGGCAAAATTCTGGACAATTCCATAAAGTAAAGTGAAAGCAAGTTTATTAAGAAAGCAAAGGAATAAAGAATGGCTACTCCAGAGGCAGAGCAGCAGCCTGGGCCACTCAACTGATTATAGTTGAGGGCTGGATTATTCATGAGTTTTCCACGAAAGGGGTGGGCAGTTCCCAGAACCGAGGGTTCCTCCCCTTTTAGACCATATAGGGTAACTTCTGGACATTACCATGGCATTTGTGAACTATAACGCTGCTAAAAAAAAAAAAAAAAAAAAAAAAAAAAAAAAAGATACTTTTAGCATGCTAAAATATTGTAATAAGCATATAAGGAGCAGTGAGGACAACCAGAGGTCACTTAACTGGCCATCTTGCTTTTGGTGGGTTTTGGCTGGCTTCTTTATGGCATGCTGTTTTATCAGCAAGGTGTGTTTGTTTGTTTTTGAGACTGGAGCTGTCACTCAGGCTGGAATGCAGTGGCATGATCTTGGCTCACTGTAACCTCCACATCCTGGGTTCAAGCAGTTCTCATGCCTGAGCCTCCCAAGTAGGTGGGACTACAGGTGCACCTCCACACCAGATTAATTTTTGTATTTTTAGTAGAGATGGGGTTTCACCATGTTGCCAGCCTGGTTCAAACTCCTGACCTCAGGTGATCTCCCCACCTTGGCCTCCCAAAATGCTGAGATTACAGGCATGAGCCACCATGCTGGGCTCAGCAATGTCTTTCTGACTCATACCTTGTACCTACCTCCTATCTCATTTTGTGACTTAGAATGCCTAACCTCCTGGGAACAAAACCAGTAGATCTTAGCCTTATTTTGCCCAGCTTCTATTCAACATGGAGTTGCTCTGGTTCAAACACCTCTGACATTACCAAAAAGGAAAATGTAAACTATAATCACAGTCAGCACCAAATTAGAAAAACTTAGTGAAACAGTCACCTGTGAAAACCAGAGACAGATGTATGAATATACTAAAAAACCAGAGAGTTGTGCACTTTAAAAGGGTAAATTTTGTAGTATGGTCATTATGCCTCCATGAAGCTGTTTCTAAACAAACAAACAAAAAAGACTAGTTAGACCCCAGGTTTTTCTACTTCTTTCCCACTTCTGCAGATTCAGTGTTGGCTCTCTAAGAGGCTGAGATGGTGGAAAGCTCTGGTCTGAGGGGTTGTATACATGGCCAAGGCCAAGATGAGAAACCCTATGAAAACAAGAGAACCGAGTGAAAATTCGCCTCCTGAAGAGCAGAACTCCAAGCTGCCTTCTCTTCCTCAACTCCCCAAACACTGGCAATCAAGCTGTATTCTCTGGGAAAATGGGAAGATTTTTCTCTGGGAATTCTGCCCTGCCCAGAAGAAAAGGCCCATAAACACTGGGAGTGGGTGTCTCTTATCCCTACCTCATCACCCTACAGCAGTCGGTCTTAAACTTGAGGGACACCCTCCCACCTCCAACCTGGTCTTCTCTTGGTACATTTAACAGAGCCTGGAGTTGCTGTGGGTTGTCTCACCTGGTAGGAGGTGGGTGTTACAGGTATCTATCACACAGAGGCCAACGATGCTGCTAAACATCTTACAACTCAAAAGACAGTTTCACACAATGAAGAATTAGCTGGTCCAAAATGTCACTAATGCTGAGATTGAGAAACACTGTCCTAAAGTGAGGCCCACCCATCAGCAAGGCCTACGCACATGCAGAATGCTTCCACATAGCCTTTCAGCACCTCACAATGAAATATCAGCAGATAGCCAAGCGCCTCCCAACAATAAAACAAAGATCAAAAGAGTGATGACTTAAAAGATTTTGCCAAAGTGACAGATCAATGTTGTCCCTGACACATGCATCTCAGTGGTGAAGTCTCCCTGCATCCATTCCTGCTCCCTTTGCCAAGGTCAAAGCCCACTGAGCAGCCATCCAACCACAGGACTACAACAGGGGGACTCTCCGGCTCAGTGGAGGTCTTCTCCACTCCAAACTGTATGCATGAATACTCTGACATTCTAGGATATCAGATGAGCTGAGTCTTGCTAGGGAGAGTGAGCTCTAGAAACAAAGTAGTAGTTAGAATTCAAAACATCCAAGGAGAGGGGTTAGGGAGGTGTTTCCTATGGCAGAAGTGGCTGAGAAACTTCAAGCAATTAAGTTGCCTGCCCTGCGCTCTGCTACTGCTACACCAGCTTGTCTCCAAAGGATTGGTGATGAGCGACTGCACGTCATAGCCTGGCTTTGTGCTGCTCTGTGGAATAGAGAAGAAGCCCTAGAGCCCAGGAGGGTAGAGAGAACACAGACAAGGCTGGAGATGGAGCAGCTGACAAGGCGAGGGCCACATCTCTACCACTATGTGGCCATAGGGCATACCTTCATGAGGCAGTGAAGTAAGGAGCTTTGTAGCAGGTGTATTGTGGAGCAGAAGAAAGGGGCAGGCTCGTTCATGCCCTGGCAAAAGTGGGGCCCAGACTCACTGAGGCTGGGAGCAAAGTGATGGTGAGGAGGAATCCCACAGGGGTCTCTCCTAACTCTTCAGGGCTTTGGGTGTTCTGGTTATGGCCGTATTATCTCACTCAGTCCCCAAAGGGCTCTTGCAGTTGTTGCAGCAGAATTAACTCCACCCGGCAGGTGGGAAAAAAAGGAGGCAGAGAAAGCTTCAATAACTTGCTTATGGTAGTGTGGGATGAAGAGGGGCTTGTCACCTGTCTGATTCCAGCTGACACTAAATAATGAAGTTTGACTGTATTTGTTTAACACTTGTGCTTTGAGGAGCATTACAGTTGTTCCTTGTCCTTATACCGTGTGGGCAGAAATAACAGAGCCCCTGAATCTAGGCTCCCTACTTTCTTTCCCTCACTCTACCTCCTGGGATGGTGGGGGAGAAGCAGACAAATAAAAAACCATGACCCATAGTCACGAGCTGGCTGCAGTTTTCCCTGTGGGCCGTGTAGAACGTGCCTCTCAGTCTGTCTGGCTTATATCTGGCAGTAATCATCCCCTGCCCTGGGAGTAATGGGGGATGCCCTCAGGTCCCAGATACCTGGATCTGGGCCCAACTTCCTTCTTAAGAGTCTGAGATGGCAGAGACAACCTCAGCAGGTTGAGGCAAGGGTTTCATGAACTCTTGGCCTCAAATGAGCTGCCCACCTCCGACTCCCAAAGGTAAGAGATTACAGGCGTGAGCCACCACACTTGGCCCACTTTTTAATTTTTTTTTAAGAGATGAGTCTCACCATGTTGCCCAGGCTGATCTTGAACTCTTCAGCTTACGTGATCCTTATGCCTCAGCCTCCCAAAGTGCTGGGATTACAGTTGTGAGCCACCACCCACAGCCCAAAAGATAAAATTCTTAAGGATTTCAGCCAGGCACCATGGACCCTGAGTTTAAGGGTCCTTGAAAACAGGACCCTTCTGCCTCACCTTCAGTGCTGACTGAGAAAGGTCAAGGAACCAAGACTCTGAGTAAACAAGCTTAGCAGCACTGTTCATGTTACACAGTCCAAAGCTTTCAGGGACACACTGCTACCATCCAGATCCCTATGGCCTATCTCCCACCCTGTGCCACATCCTCAGCACTGCGCTCATTGGTGTGGGTGCGTAGGTGGAGGGCAGCATCCTTGAGATAGCACCAGCTCACGTTATCCAGCTAGGGTGTTAGCTGGCGTAACTGGATCCTCTCCATTGTGCCGGTTTACAACGTTCTATGAGCAACACTGGATGTTTTGTAAGCAGATACCCACAGCTAATTATAAATATATGTATATACTTCTAATTGGAGAGACAAATTAACAAGATGGCCCAAGAAGCTTCCCCAAACAGGAGGTCTGGGGACAAAAGCACCCCTGGATTTGAACGCCCTGCAACTTTTGGTGGAGATTGCACGTGTCATTTTTGTTGTTGTTATATTGGGCCTTGGGGTTTTATTTTCTCTGAGCAAACCATATCCATGAAAGAGAATTAGAACAGAACTCACCCCCCTTAGCACTAGCAACAGGAACGTTCACTATCCTGATAACATCAGAGCACAACACTCCGATATTGTTACTCTTCAGAATAATGTTTGAGTGGAATGTCCTGCAAATGTTACTCAAATAATATTAGCTAAAGTCTTGTATTAAGAACAATGAAGAAAAAGAAAAGGAATATTTCACAAAAAGTTAAAAGCACATTTTTGTGCCACTTTACAAACACATGTCAAGACCAGCATGGAGAAAAGGCAAATCTTGATGAGGCAAAACCCAAAGGCAGAGCAGAGAGGGAATCTTCCTGGAGGCTGGAATGCTCTGCTCAGACCCCAGACCCCACCTGGCAGTTTGTTAGGGTTATATCTCTGCTAGGAAACATCATTGCAAGTCATGTTATAAAATGCTGGGTGGTCAGTGTGCCCAGGGCTCTGCCACACGTCCTGAGGTCAGCAGTCTTCATAGTTGTGCCCCAGGCAGAGGGGATAGTGGAAGCAAAGACAAAGAGAAGTCACATTAGCGGGTAGGAATGGCTGGACTGAAATAGAGAGGCAGATGGGGCCGGAGGCCATTGGAGCTCTCAAGGGCCTTGGATGGCACATTGGAGGGTCTGGGTTTTACCCCTAGGCCATAGAGTCCCAGTGAAGGGTTTCAAGTAGAGGAGAGATGAAGTCAGACCTCTGCTCTGGGTGCTGCCCTGGCTGCCATGCAAGAGAGAAACTGAAGGGCAGGGCCAATAGTCCAGTGCCCAGGTGGGAGGCAAACAGGGCCTTTGGGAAGGAGGATATGGTGCAATCCAGATTTTCCCAAGAGGTCAGAAGAGTGTAGGGAATAAAAGATTGGACTCCGAAGTAAGAACAGTCAACGAGGCTGAAGCCTGTCTCCAGGGACTGCTGGGACCCATCTTATCTCAGCCTCCATTTTTTCATCTGTAAAGAAAGACAGTAAGATAATCTGCCTCAAATGGTTGTGGTGATGATTCAATAAGTCATTTAAAGGGGTTGGCAAGTGTGTGGCAGAAAGGCGGTGACAGGTAACTGTCAGTTGTGGCTGCCTTGAAGGGTGGGTTTCCTGACTGTGCACCTGCCTGGCTGCTCATGGCTCCACACTCAGAAGGGCCCTGCACTTGGTCTAGTACTGTGCTGACACCATAGTGAAATTCTTTTTTTTTTTCTTTTGAGATGGAGTCTCGCTCTGTCACCCAGGCTGGAGTACAGTGGCACGATCATGACGCACTGCAGCCTCTGCCTTCCGGGTTCAAGCAATTCTTCTGCCTCAGCCTCCCGAATAGCTGGGACTACAGATGCACACTGCCATGCCCAGCTAATTTTTTGTATTTTTAGTAAAAATGGGGTTTCACCATGTTGGCCAGGACTGTCTTTATCACCTGACCTCGTGATCCAGCCATCTTGGCCTCCCAAAGTGCTGGGATTACAGGCATGAGCCACCGTGCCTGGCTGAATTTTTTTTCTTTTTCTTTGAGATGGAGTTTTGCTCTTGTTGCCCAGGCTGGAGTGCAATGGCACAACCTCAGCTCAATGCAACCTCCGCCTCCAGGGTTCAAGCGATTCTCCTGCCTCAGCTTCCTGAGTAGCTGGGATTACAGGCGGACGCCACCACACCCGGCTAAGTTTTATATATATATATATATATTTTTTTTTAGTAGAAACAGAGTTTGTCCATGTTGGTCAGGCTGATATATATATTTTTTTAGTAGAAACAGAGTTTCTCCATGTTGTTCAGGCTGGTCTTGAACTCCTGACCTCAGGTGATCCGCCCGCCTTGGCCTCCCAAAGTGCTGTCAGGAGTTTGAGACCACCAGCCTGACCAACATGGTGAATTTCCATCTCTACTGAAAACATAAAAATTAGCCAGACATGGTGGCACATGCCTGTAATCCCAGTTATTTGGGAGGGTGAGGCAGGAGAATTGCTTGAACCAATTTGGGAGGCAGAGGTTGCAGTGAGCTGAGATCATGCCGCTGCATTCCGGCCTGGGCAACAGAGTGAGACTCTGTCTCAAAACTAAAAAATCATTTTAAAAAATTAAAAATTAAGTCCAGGTGCAGTGGCTCACACCTGTAATCCCAGCACTTTGTGAGGCCAAGGTTGGTGGATCACTTGCAGTCAAGAGTTTGAGACCAGCCTGACCAACATGGTGAAACTCCATCTCTACTAAAAATACAAAATTAACCAGGAGTGATGGTACACGCCTGTAATCTTAGCTACTTGGGAGACTGAGGCAAGAGAATATCTTGAACCTGGGAGGCAGAGGTTGCAGTGAACTGAGATCATGCCATTGCACTCCGGTCTGGGTGACAGAGCAAAACTTCATTTCAAAAAAAAAAATATATAGCTGGCATAGTGGTTCTTGCCTGTGGTCCCAGCTCTGAGGCAAGAGGATCATTTGAGTCCAGTATGTTGAGGTTGCAGTGAATCATGAAAGAAGGAGGAGGAGGAGGGAGGGAGGGAGGAGGGGGAAGAGGAGGGGAGGAGGGGGAGGAGTAAGGAGAAGAAGGAGAAGGAGGGATAAGAAAGAAGGAAGAGGAAGAAGGAGGAGGAGGAGTCTGATGGGACAATGGGGTGTGTACACAAGCAGAGGAGACATGAACATATGCCACCCTATTTGCATGTCACATATATGATGCCCCGTGAGCACATAATTCCAGTGGGCCCACAATGCATGGGAGTTTAGCAAGACTCAAAGCCAGTACAAGGCTGGGGTGTTATATCTGTGGTTCAACATGTAGAAATGCTTCCAGTCCAGAGGGGCTACACTTCCCATTTAAACCAGAACTTACTTCAGATACTAAAAGAAGGCAGTGGTGTTCTAAGAAGCATGACAACTTAGGAACCTTATCCTATCCTTTTTCATTGGAGTTACTTCCCTGGATTAGCCAACCACCTCAGCTGACAGTAATGACCCAGAAGAAAAGGAAAAGACAGAACAACCCATAATTCCTTTTCTTTTCAGTTTTTTACTCATCAGTAAGCCAAAGGCAGGAAACATTAGTAGAATGTGCACAAATCAAGACGTGAAGTAAAACCATTGTTTTTTTGTTTACTTGAGTGAGCTTTGTGCAGCATTTCTACAGTCCTGATAAGCCTGAAATCCTGCATGTATACGAGCTCTAACATACAAATTGTGTCATTTCAGTGATTCCACATAGGAGTCAGGTACTCTTATACTTGCATTGAAACCTGGCATTGCTGAATATACAGATGAATGGTGAGATGCATGTGAATAATTTAAAATTTTGAGTTTTCTCAGAATGACATTAAATAGCAGAAAGAAAGATTTTATATTTTAGTACCCTTAACTGTTTTTCTTGCTTTCTGAACAGGGGATGCCATATTTTCATTTTCCATTGGGCCCTGCAAATTATGTAGGGCTGCTCTGCTGCTTTTATTATTAATCCTCAGGGGCGAGTGAGTGAGGACTGGGGAAAAGGCAGTAGAATCCTAATAGTCATTAGAGGCTAGTGGGACAGGCATGTTATCGAACCTTTGCATTTGCTTCAGAGATATACCTTGGATTCTATGTCCAAGCAGATGGACCAGCCTAGGAGTGCTCAGGCCTGTCCACCCTCAAGGAAATCACAGCCCAGAAGTGACCTTCACAAAGGCACTTACAGATTTAAGGGTCAACCCAAGTCAAAGCCACATATCCCAACATCCAGGCCCAGGCTCAGTTGATCTGTCACAGACCTAGCCGGGAGACACAAGGGCTCCGCGTTTTTTTATTTCTCCATCTGACACATGGGGGTGACAACACTATCCTCACTGTGAAGAATAGAGAGGTTGGGGCAGAGTGCCCCGGGCAGGACCTAGCACAGAGCAGTGTGCAACAATATGCAAAGGGATAATAGTTTCAAGACATTGTTGTTTTCTTTTTCAGACTCCAATATGAGACCTTCTCCCTCTTCCCTGAATCTGTATTTATCTCAAGAAGCAAGGAATTGATCTAAGTGGTGTGCAAAGAAAAAAGCAAAATACTCTCTGTTCTCAGCATCTGACTTCCAAACTTGGATTTTGAACTCCATAGAAATAATTGTAGAAAGCAGGGTTTGTTGTGAGAGAGAAATCTGTAAATTCCTAGATCACTCCTTCAGACATCAAGGGCTAAACCCAGCCACCAGACAGCAAAAACACATCAGCCCCTGAGAACAGCCATCTCTATTTGATTTACTGATGAATCCCCAGAGCCAAGAACTGGCTTGACCCTAGTGGGTGCTCATTTTTATCTGTGAGAAGGAGAAAAGTGGTGTAATCCACAGTTAAGACAGTCAGGTACAAGGGAATCTGATAGTCCTATCTGGAGGGAATTTCGCTCTGAAGATGAAGCTGTTGTAGAAATCCTCCTCTGGTAACAGAGAACAAGAAGATCAGGGCAAAGGGCTGCTGGGGGCCCTCACTCATCAGGGGAGAGGGCTCAGGGCACCCGCAGCAGCAGTTCCTGCTCTGGGCCAGGCCGTCCTGTGGCTGCACAGCTGCCCATGCTGCTCCTCACATGGATGGTGCCCCTGTCCTGGAATGGCCCTGGTGGGTAGAGGGATTTGCTGCTCCAGACCTGCAGCATGGACACCAGAGGATACGACTCATTTGCCACATGCCCCGGGGGCTGGGGAGGCACTGCAGGAACCAGCTGGGTCAGAGACCAAGATGAGGAACAAAGAGAAAAGCTTCAAAGCTTGAGATGAACTGCTGCATGTGCATTTTAGAGGTAGTTCTTTCGCCCCTTCCCTTCACTGAGGTTGCATGGGACAGGCACTCCTACTCCTGACCCCTGAAGAAGTACATGGGCATGATCAGAGGCTGGGTCTGTCCTTGATGCCCACAGGAGACTTGCCCTGGGGCAGGCTCTTGATTCTGTTGTGTCACAAAATCCTTTGGCATCCTGGTAAGGTCCATAGACCCCTTTTCATTTTTATTTATTTATTTGAGACAGTCTCACTCTGTCACCCAGGCTGGAGTGCAATGGCGCGATCTCAGCTCACTGCAACTTCTGCCTCCTGGGTCAAGCAATTCTCCTGCCTCAGCCTCCTGAGTGGCTGGGATTACAGACACATGCCACCACACCCAGATAATTTTTGTATTTTTAGTAGAGACAGGGTTTCACCATGTTGGCCAGACTGGTCTCTAACTCCTGAGCCCAGCTGATCCACCTGCCTTGGCCTCCCAAAGTGCTGGGATTACAGACGTGAGCCACCGCGCCCGGCCACAGACGTCTTTTCAGAACACAGACTTTAAATTCATAAAACACTAGGATTACAAAGGAAACCAGTGATCTTGAAGTAGGAATCAAAATCACTTTAAATATCTTTCATATAATGTCAATATATGCTTCCTAATTAAATAATTAGATCTCATGGCAGATCTCTATTACAATTTTTAAAAGTTGTAACAACATAAATGGTATTTGGAGACATTCCCAGTGGTTTAATTGGGGAATAAAATATCTGTGACTTTTGCTGGGACAAAAATCACATCTTTGCTTACATTCATGATTGAAGGAAATGCTAAATCTCACTTAAGGATAGGAAAAACAAAGATGTAATGTGTTCTCTGTCACGGTTCACAGACTCACAGAATTCCAACCACAACTCTGGGAGTTCCAGGGACTCCAGGTTAAGAACTCCACACTCTGAGACCTTGTGACCACCATTCAGAGGGTCCCTCTGACACTCTGGTGATGGTGTTCTTTTCTTTTTTCTTTTTTTTTTTTGGAGGAGTCTCACATTGTTGCCCAGGCTGGAAAGCAGTGGCACGATCTCGGCTCACTGCAACTTCCGCCTCCCGGGTTCAAGCAACTCTCCTGCCTCAGCCTCCCAAGTAGCTGGGATTACAAGCACCCACCACCACACCTGGCTAATTTTTGTATTTTTAGTAGAGATGGGGTTTCACCATCTTGGCCAAGCTGGTCTTGAACTCCTGACCTTGTAATCCACCTGGCCTCCCAAAGTGCTGGGATTACAGGTGTGAGCCAAGCACACCTGGCCTTGGTGATGATTTTCAAAACAGCCAAATCTGCCCTCCCTGAAGCCAGGGAAGAAAAGCTGTGGAGGGAGAGGGTGGGGACTGAGCGGGAACATTCATCTGTGTGGGCTCAGGACTCCTGCAGCAGGATCCACAGGGCAGGCTCCCAGGCCTGGCACACTGATTGATTCCAACACCCAGTGCCACTCCAGGGAATCTCCATTTTATGTTTTTAAAATTATTATTATTTTTTCTTTTTGTGCAGACGGGGTCTTGCTATGCTGCCCAGGCTGGTCTTGAACTCCTGGACTCAAGCAGTCCTCCTGCCTCTGCCTCCCTAAGTACTGAGATTACAGGTGTGAACCACCACACGCCAGAATCTGCGTTTTAAACAGAAGCCCAGGAATAACTTAAACAAACATCCTAGCATTTCCCTGGTGCTTTGTCCCAGTCAGGGAACTCAAGATGGTGGGAAAGAGCAGTGGGATGCTCCTCACACCTCCTCTGGCTAGAGTGCCAGTGGCATCACTGCCAGGAGATGAGCCTGCAGCTCCTGGCCCCTCCAGGGCCCCTCATGTATAAGTAATGCCTGAAACGTGAGGCCATGATGCCTCTTTGCTGGGAAACCTGAGCAGAGGAGTGTGTGGCCGGATTGATGGGCCAGGAACTAGCCGCCTCCCTTCACCTCTCTCTCTCAAACTTCACCCACCTCCACATTCAATCTCAAACAAACCAAGAGGCCCTGGCTGCTGTCAGGTCTAGGAGGGGAGGCCGGCCACCATGATGGCAGGAAAGCAGCCCAGGCTGAAGACATGCCCCCAAGAGCACGCTGTGTGAGCCTGTGCGAGACCCCAGCAGCACTGCTGACCATGAGCCACCAGGTAAAGGGCCTGAAAGAGGAAGGTGAGTCCACGTCCTGATCCTCTTGTGGGCCCCCCACCCCACAGGTTCCTGGGCAGCAGCAGTGGATGGGGGAAGCAGATGTGTGGTCTTAAGAGACAGGGAGTGGCTCACATCTGTAATCCTAGCACTTTGGGAGGCCGAGGCCAGCAGATCATCAGGTCAGGAGATGGAGACCATCCTGGCTAACATGATGAAACCCCATCTCTACTAAAAATACCAAAAAAATAACCAGGTGTGGTAGTGTGTGCCTGTAGTCCCAGTTACTTAGGAGGCTGAGGCAGGAGAATTGCTTGAACCTGGAAAGCGGAGGTTGCAGTAAGCCAACATTGTGTCACTGCACTCCAGCCACGCCCCCCCCCCCGCCCCACAGAAAAAAAAGAGACATAGGGAGGAACTGGGTTTGAGTCCAGGGTCTACCCTCTGCGTCCTGAGCGACCTCATCTGGTTATTCAGCCTCTCTGGTCCTGGTGCATGAGATGGAGGTAGCCATCACCTCTTGCAGGGCTGCTGGAAGGATTCGACCTGCGCATGGCACCTACGTTCAGGACAGCACTGCATGTTCCTCAGAGCCTGCTGGGGCCCCTCACCTTCCTAATTGTCTTGGTTAGGGTTGCCTGTTCTTAGCAAGCCCCTCAGCAGATTTCTATCTGTCTCTGTCTCTGTCCGGGACAAGGGATGGGAGGGTATTCTGACCTCACGACTGACAGTATCAGAGAAATGTCACAGGCAGGAGACTATAATTTGCTGAGTAAAATCACTGGAGCTGGGTTCCAGCTTGAGGCAGCCACAAACCAGCTGAGGGGGTCCCACAGTGACTGGAGGGGGCTGCAGGGAGGGGATTCCCCAGAGTTCAGCCATGTGTCAGCATTCCTGTCTCTTACAGCACGAGGCAGAGTGAAAGGGCGGGCAAGGAGCGGCTCTCCACCCACAGGTGAGATGGGGTGAGGGTCTCTGGGGAGCCCACAGTTCCTGGATGCCCTCTACCCAGCCCAGCGGTCCAGCCACCCATCCAACTTCTCTTTCATCTCCTTCCCTCTCATTCAACAGCCGGTATGGTGCCTTCCTGGGAGGCAAGCTGTGTAACATGGGAGGGGGCAGAGTACCATGCAGAGAAGGTGCCTCTCGGCCATGGGTGTCAAGGGAGATTCCCAGGGTTAGTGACACTCTGAGCTGAGCCTTAGGAAGCAGTGAACATACACCAGACAGAGGGCAGGGAAGCTCAGTGCAGGCTTCTGGTGGGTAGGTCGTGTGGCCAGACTCACACCCAGGTCCCGGGACTCCAGGGGGAACCTTCCTAACCTCCAAAAAGTAGCAGCCACAGTGGGTGCTCCATTGAGAATGTGACCACAGCTCTCCTGTGAGCCAGTGAGGGGGCTGACTTGCTCCAGGAGAAGGAGGAAAACCCAAGGAAGCCATAGGCAGGA